TTTAGCCTCCATGGTCTGCCTGAAGTGTTGGTCAGTGACAACGGCCCGCAGTTCACTTTGAGTGAATTTGGACTTTTAGACTCGTCAGCAATCTAATAAGTGGGGAGGAAGTGATGTATTGGATTGTGTTTTTGTTCTGCTCATTTGCCCTGGGTGCCAGAGGGCGACAGTGTTTTGGGCCAGGGGTTGTTGGGTTGGGTTGTCTGTTTTTCTACTCTTTTCAGCTCCGCATTAATTGGTCACCGCAGTACATGGAAATACGTCTACCTGTCGGTATCGTATACATCACTGTATATGAGTAGTCTAACGCTTGAACGATTGTAATGTTACGGAACGCAACAGTAGGCACCTCACCGATATCAGTGATGCTTGGGAAATGGGTACCACTGATCTTCTGAGCAGTTTTAACCACCTGCTGCAGATTGCTTCATTTTTTTATTGCTCGTCTGTAAAAGCTGACAAGAATTTGGCACAAGAATTTGGCCTTCTTAGGCTTCCTCAACAAATCCGGCCGTTTCTGAGCTTTCTTCAACAGCGTGGAGATGTGACCATGCCAGGTTCTCTCTGATGCTGATTCCCAGGAACCTGAAACGATTCACCTGCTCCACCTCAGCTTCACTGTAGACAGGAGTGGGTATCTTCATCTCCTTCTTCCTAAAATCAACAATCAGCTCCTTCGTTTTGCTGATGTTGAGGAGTAGGATGTTCACTGAGCACCACTCTACAAGATTATCAATTTCCTCCCGATATGAAGTCTCATCGTTGTTTGAAATCCGACCGATGATGACGGTGTCGTCCGTAAACTTCACAAAAGAGTTCTCTCCATGTCGGGGGATGCAGTCGGGGGATGCAGTCGTGGGTGTACAGCCTGAACAGGAGGGGGCTAAGCACACAGCCCTTGGGGGGGCTCTGGTGTTGAGCACTAGAGTGGACGAGATGAGTCCGTCAATCATACTTTATGTCAACTTATGACGCTACAATGTGTGGTGGGGCATTCAGTGCTTCTGCATGTTGTGTAGATGTCACACTGACAGGAAACCGCATTATCACAAGATCATGGTGGCTGGCTACCTGCAGCAGGAGCCACTGGTGCTCTTTTGCACAACTTGCTCTATTCACTTGATGTATTGCTACTTCTAATAAAAGGTATATACAACACTCTAAAGGGGACCATTCTGCATAATACAATTGAACTATACTATACTTTGAAACATTTTGCTGACAAATCTTATGTAGGCCTACCTTGTAGGTAGGTGTAAGTACAATTTTGAATTCAGGACTTTTACTCATTGGCATTGTGGTAATGCTACTTTTACTGCTATTACATTTTTAAATGTCAAATTTACAATTTGTTCAATTGTGTAATCGCTACAGCCTGGTATCACCTGAAAACAATGCATTTCTGTTTACATGGCCAGTCGTCATTATGTCAACAGGCCTGCTCATCATAGCATTCTCCTAATCTGGTAGCCTGTTTCTTTTGTTTGCTCACAATCACGATGAAGATTACAAAAGTGTTAATGCAGGTTTAATTTCTTGTCAGCAGACAACTACTGCCAGAGGCCTTCTCTTCTTTCATTCCTCTGCCCTGCTTCATTATTGCTGTCACTTGGAGCTCAGATGATAATGCCTCCCAGTGATTTGTTCAACAACCTGTGGAAACCTCAATTCATACCTTCACAGACACAAGTACAGACAAATAAAAAATAAATTGAAAGTGTCAAATTTAAATATCTAACAATTCATTTTCTAACTCGTATTTACTTATACAATCCCATACATAATACTGTGATGTAGTCAAGTTAGTTTTATTTTAGCCCAGTTTCAGAAAATTGCCTCAGGGGGCTTTACAATCTGTGCAGCAAATGACACCCTCCACCCTTAGACCCTGGATATACAACATCTATCAGTGCTCCCTGTAGTGCTTCTCATTATAAAGAGGGCAGGTAATGCCTGAATATATTCTGCTTTCAATTTGCATTATGACATTTTTAACCCCATATGTGAAGAAATTTGAAACCAAAACCAGCTATGACAGATCCATTTGTCAAGTGTAGTGTTACTTTCAGCAGAAAGCAGAGCTGGAGTTCTCATACTTGATGCATATCAAAATATATCTTATATTTACTTGAATTTTAGTTCTGGTTTGCTGTAGCTGTAACCCCTGAGTAAAAAATGTCTCTTTGGCTTGTCATATTGGACGGTATAATAGGATTGGCAAGCTAAAACATAAAGCGGAGACAAACATCCGCATGTCTGCCAGAGTAATTTCTATGTAGTAAAACTACTTACTGGTTAATAAAGTTATGAAAAACAATATTTGAAAATAATATTTCATAAGCACTCGTGTTGGGGCACCACCTGAATCTCGTTTGCCTAAAGGCCTTCAGGATGCCTTTAGGTATGGTTTTAATAATTACACAATTATTTACTAGTGAGCAGTTAGTCAATAATTGTTTAATCAGTCAGTCTCATATCAAAGTCGTGAATCCTTAGTCCAGTGACCTGGATTTAAACAGTACACACACACACACAGTTCCTGTGATTAAGGTAAAATTTATTAACCAACTAAAGTGAATACACAGTGAGGTTAAATATATCACATACATACAATAATGATTAAACCAGAATGCAATACATGACAATAACAGAGTTTAAGGTGAATTTAGTTGGTCTATTGTGGAAAGAATTTGAGTGTAAGACAACTAAGGAACACAAGTTATATGATCATAACTAAGTTAAATTTGGCTAGGAGTTTTAGGCTAAAATGACTAAAGGATTAAAGGCTAAAGAATTAGGACATAGAAAAAGGACATCACCGCGACCACAGAATGTAGTTCGTTTGTCTTTCTGCTTGCTGTTTTACAGCCGGTTGGGGTTTGGTCGGCCTCATGACTAGTTAGGCTTATGCTGCGTTCCAGGCAACTCGGAACTGGGAAATTTCCGACATCCAACTAGAAAAACTACCCTGGAACGCCACCTGAAGTCGGATTTCCTACTTATGAACTCTGAGAAAAATATATGTACCCCGACTTAAAGAGTAGCAGCTGAATTATGTCACAAAACAATGTTAGTGCCCATGGATGCACACACTGTAAATGGTAAACTATAAACTAAAAAACAACAAAAAGTATATTTGCATGTATTTAAGTTAAAATAATACATATGGTAAAACCTGTTCTGCATGTACATTGATGTAGAAATATGTTAGGCCTATTATGTAACTGGCTACAGTAAAGACTCACAAAGTCATCTTCTCTGCATAAAAGTTACTGTTAAAAATGCCAACACATTATGGAAGTGTAACTACAACACTGACTGACTTGTGGGTTACCAACTGATGTAGCTAGAGGGGTACACAGTTTTATGTCAGTTGTTGCAGTTAAACTGCCATGCTTTTAATTAACACCTAAAACACTGCTGAGGGTGCAACTGTGTGCACACTTTCACGGTCAGCCATGGTTTTCGTTCACTTTCAGTGTCGCGCACCACCATGCACCTGGAACGCATTGAGGTCAGAGAACTCTTAACAAAAGAAAGTAAACGTTAAGAAAATTTCACTGACAATGCCGGGTCGAAATCTTGGGCGTTGGCATTGCTTTGACACGGAGCGCGCTCCGTAAGCGTGCCGAGAGAGAAGCAGACAAGCCAGAGAGCAGCTATGGCTCTGTGTTTTTGTTGCCTGGGGCGTGTTCCCAGGGGGAGGGCTATGTTTCCCCCGAGACTTCTGTGTCTTAACGTTAATAAGTTCTTAAAGTCTATTTACGTGTTTTGTAATCAAATACCCTTCCACAATCAACTCTTGTAAAGTTCTTAATTTTAAGCATTTGATAAAAGTTATTGTTAATCGTCCATAACAATTATGATAGTTACCAGTTAAAAACATTTCATAGGAGCATCTTAACTAAACTTCTAGGAGAATACTGATTGTTAAACATCCTTACTTACAAAATATGTAAGTTATAAGAACATGGCATCAGATTACAATAATAATAAAAAAAAATAAAACACAGAGGCTGTTTCTCAATCTGCGTTCTTGTTTGTACTTGTGGACTTTGAATCATCATAAGTCGCAGCCAAAGTACAGTTCCAATTCAAAAGTCTGCATCTAGCCAAGTACTGTCAAATACCCAGATGTGTTCTTGCTCCGCCTGTTTTACCGAGCCTCCATCGATGGTCACTTGTGTGGACCTCAGATCGCCAGATATCTCAGAACTGTAACTTATAATACTGCTGTTCTTGTGTCACATAGTAGTTTTAAGAGTTTTTTAAACTACAAATATGTGGATGATGACAGAGCTGATTTAGAAAATTGCTACAACATTTTCGGAGATGTGAGGTCCCGCCCGCTAACGGGTCCGGCTGTCATCAAGTCTGCTGCTGTTCCAATTGCTGATGCTAATGTTCCTGGAAGTTTGTACTCCCGAGGCAAACTTGCCAAGTCCGAGCTTTAAAGTACAGAAATCCGAACTTGGTATTGAGAAACAGCCAGAGTAATGTAAATTGACCCTTTGCTAAGCCCCGCCCACCTTAGTTACTGTTGCTAAGTCCGACAAACTGTCGGCTCTGCCACTGTCTATTACTGCACTCCCCAGAGAAATATTGTCAAATTTGTTGGAAAAAGCGATCTCAGAAGAAAGACACTTTTGCAGTTGCATTATACATTTGAAGGTTGTATTCAGGCTGTCAAACTGACTCAAGCCTACCAATCACACAATACAAGTGAACCACCGCATCCCCCGATGATTGAGACAAAAGACAACAATAAGATCAACACTCTTCCTGTAAAGCTGGGTAGGCCTCTATTCATTACTACAATCATTAAAAAGCAGAATAGGGCTTTATTACATTCAGTAGGAAGAGAGTTAGCGATAGCTAAACATTACATTAGGAAAAATCCACAGCTGAATTTTCTGGATTTATTTTAGGTTTTGGAAAGCGAATAAATTGGACTTCTATCAACCTCTCTGGGTAGCGACTGTAATTATTACAAGTGCAGGAACAGCGTTTGACCATATCTTGGAAAAATACAGCGAAAAAAAAAGCTAGTAAAAACGACTCCTTTTGCATTAAAAAGTTGCATTGAAAGTGTCGGAACTCCGAGTGAGTCCTATACTGCGCTGTGATTGGTCAGATTTGTATTTGGGGCAAGGCTTTGCAAAGGGTCAATTAGGCACAAGGTGAGGGTACTTCAGCTGTCTGAGGGTTGATATCCAACCACCCCCCCCACCTCTTTCTCCCAGGGAGAGAAAAAGATTCTGTATTATTCCTTTTTAGTATAAAATAATTAAAACACTGCCTGGTTCACTATGTGAACAATCTGACAAGTAGGTAATTGGTGAGGATTCCAGCAGCAAGGATTACAATCATGAGCAGCAATGTGAGGCCACGCCGTAAAACCAACTGTGTTATTGAAAGAACTTCTCCCACTACAGTGGTAGTAGAATTATTCTGGTCTGGAATATGCACGTCCTGGTATGTGTGGTCCTCCCCAGCTTCCTCTAAATTGGATGAAGTAGTACTGACCTGGTCCAAGTTCTGTATTGAGTCTAGAAGTTTGAGGGAATATTTTGTATTAACACTAAACTGACACAAATGATGTGCCATGTAAACACACACTTACCTAGATTTTCCATCTGGACCATCTCTTTTTCTTCTTTGATCTGGACTCCTGCTCTTACAAGAGCCTGATCAGAGACATGAAAGACAGCTGTTTTCATGTTTTTCGATTTCAGTTATATCTCAAAACAAATAAAAATTTAAGAATCTTTTTGACTGTTCAAATAGTTCAGGTACGCACCTCTTCAGTAGCCTTCTTCCAATCAAGTTTGTACAAAAATATTATAAAAAAAGTTGCTTGCAGTGACACACAAATGGTCAATCCTGTCCATAGTCCTATTATAGACATGAAAGAAGAGTTTTAATGACTTTCCTGAATTACTTGACAAACACTTTTTATTCATATCATATTAATAAGCTTAATTAGCTTCAGCTTGTGTGAGATACATATATTTACCTACACATTGATCAGATAAGTATATAAGGATCAGCGTCGGAATCTGCAGATTCCCAATATTAAAGGACTGCATTTAGGGATAAAAGAACTTGATCGTGACATCCCTACTACTAACCATTTAGTATTATTTTTAATGTTAATCAGATGTGAGACGCTCACCATTGCACCACCAACAACAATGGAAGTATTTTCTTTGTCAAGGCAAAATAATTGTGGGCAGAGAGTCTAACCCAACACCCCTCCTGCCCAGTATCCTACTCGCAAATGTCCAGTTCTTGGAGAAAAAAAAAAAGATCTTTAAGAGGAGAATTAGGGGTGTGCATCGTCATTGGTCTCACTATTCGATTCCTCGATGCATCACCTTAAGGGTGGGAATTTCAAGGTACCTCATTACAATTATGAGGCTACAATGCGATTGTAAAATGAACAGGACACAGATGTATTTCTCACTGGTACTTTTAAAGCATTTTAAGTATTTGTAACAATCCAAAGTAGTAGGTAGTAATGAAATGCAACTATTTGTTACTTCAGATAAATGTAGCTAACCTTGCACATCATTATAGCGTTATTACTGACCTCTGCTGTTGCTATTCAGATACGTGTTGAACTACACACTTTAAAATGCTCGAGCCAAATCTCTTTCACTCCACCTTAATATATTTGTTCCTTTTTGTCTCGTATAGTGTAGTAATATGTTTGTCTTGTCCTGTAAGTTGATTACTACAATCTTGTAATGAGCACCATGCGCTTTGAGAAACAGCATTTCGTTCATTTGTGTACTCGATATGTGGATAAATGACAAACCAACTTTACAGCAGCCAAACAACATCCTGCTCAGCTTCCAGACCGCAGTCTGAAGGGGAGATGTTTGCTAGCGCTAACTGCTTTTCTAGTAGCTGGAAAACAGATAGACTTTAATAAACGGACATGTGGTGACCTACACTGTACATTTACTGCCAGACTGAAACGTAGTGTTCAAGTTTTCCTCTGCTCGTTTTCACGCCTGTCACGTAACTGTCATTTGAAGAATGAGTGGAGGACGCTCACAAAGCGCTAATGCGCTGCACAGTGTGCAGGAGAATTTAGTAGCAGCAGTCACTCAATAAAAAGCTGCTGTCTGTGCTAAACAGGGAGAACCACACGTCTCCATTGTGTGCACCGCACAGACGGTCTGGAGCTGCACTTCCGAGTTCCACCTTTTTCGTTCCGTCAACAATTAACCTCTAGATAATATATTATTGACATTTGTGAATTGATTCATAATTATCCAAGTCTGTAACATCTTATGTCTGACATGCCTCATCCCCCAGTTGCCGGATCAAACCATTCAATCACTGGAGTTTCTCCGTTTTCCATATGGACAGAACAGAGGAATCTGGCAAATCTAAGGGTGGCGGAGTCTCTCATGATGAGGACTGCCCAAGTAGAGACTACGCTGCAGGACGTGCTAAAAGATGTTGATATGTCCAATTCCAAGACTCAAGAGGTCCACTATTGTCCCTGTACCAACAACTCTTGCTTGCCTGCTTTAACGACTCACCTTAATGGTAATGGAGAGCTTAGAGATGCTGATTAAGTACTACATTGGCTCCTCTCAACCTAGCAACCTGGACCCACTACACTTTATTTAAGAGGCAAACAGATTTACAGATGACACTGTCTCCGAGGTACTGCACACTGCCCTCACCCACTTCTACAGCAAGAGGGGTGACTTGCTGTTTAGGCTTCAGTTCATCTTTTCATTACCATAATCCCCATCAGACTGGCTGCTACACTTATGGACCTGTGACCATACACTTTCCTCTGAGCCTGCATTGTGGACTTCCAGAACCCAGGTAGTGAGTGAGGGAAGTCCCCATCTTAAATCTTAAACCCCTGCAGTACTCACTGTGCTGGGTGCTCAATGTGTGATTTTACATAGAACTACTGATATTCTCTCAATTAATATACATATGCGATATAACATAATGCTGTAAATAAAAATGTGAAAGGAAAGAAGGTTTTAATAAGTATTTTTAAAGTGCGTAATTCCAATCCAGTAACAATGGCAGAGGAAACCACAGCTGTAAGATTTTGTCTTTACAATCTGTGTATGTTTTAACTTGATTCAAGAGACAGTAGGTGTGTGGGTTGTGTGATTGTTACATTCATGAAAATTACATCATGGCAGTTGTGTGTGGCATTGCTATGACGACCAGCCACATTGAGGGGGTACGGAGGACAGCAGGCGAAGAGTGATTCGAGTAGAGTCTAGTCTAAGCAGGTACCAGTGGTGGAAAAGGGGCTATAATGGTAGTTTTTCCATTACTAGTACCAGCTCGACTCGGTTTGGCCTTGCTCCATTTTCCATTGTAGATAGTACCCCTCATTGTAGCTGGTCAACATAGCAACGCCACACACACACACACCTGCCGCAACGTAATTTTCAACACACACGCGACCCACACTCTCGAGATTCAAGTTAAAACGTTTCAACATTACTCAGAATGTAAAGACAGATAAGCGGTATGAAAACCTTCCAGCTGTGTTTTCCTCTGCCGTTGTTGCTGCAGCGGTCTGTGTAGGTGAGAGGAGAGGGCTCCGTGAGCGGGCGGCTGGCTGGCCTCGCAAGCTCCTCCCGCGGGTTGCCGCAGGCTTCCCCTGCAGCCACTTGCGGAGTTCCTCAACTCTTCCTAAACTTTCAAGCACATTTGTTCCTTCATCATCACTTTGTGTAAAACTGTCAATATTCAAAATCTACACAGTTTATTTCTCACCTCAAAACTTCTCAGAAGTGGATTTAGTAGTGAAATTAAATAAGAAATCTGTAAAATATAAAACTTTGTTGCTGGCCTCTGTCTGGCATGCGCAATGATGATGCAGTGAATAGTGACGATTCTCTCTGACCAATCAGCAGTCTGCTGTGTTTTCACGTCACATTTTAGTATCCCTCAGCTCGCTTGGCACCACAACGGAGGTGATACGAAAAAAAAACACCTGGAAGCAGGTACAGGTAGAACTTTTCCGTAATGGAAAACCAAAAAAAGGTGAGGTGAGGCAAGTTGAGCTGGTACTGTGCAGTGGAAAAGGAGCTTTACGTAACAGCAATGTGTGCATTGCAACTAAACCTATTGCTTATCAGCTAGTAGAAGTGATATGTGTATGTTTTGTGCTGGTGGACTGTCATACCATACTGTGTTGGTCTATTGCCTAATGCAAGAATGTATTATATTGTTTGCCTTCAACTGTGACATTTGTACATTATAAATGTTTTTTTCAGAAAAAATGCACTTTAATGTTTTAATACTTACTATAAATACTATGTTTTATCTTGAAATAATGTCCTTTATACTTATACATTATTGCAAACTAGCCTTTTAAAACATCCTCTAGAGTATGGTAAATATAAATCTTTGAATCTTACCTACAATCCCCATGTGTGCTGCAAACATCAGGGACACACCAATAGGGAAGCCAATGAAGTAGAACCCCACGAAGTTACACAGAGCACCAATCAACTGTTTTCCTGCTCCTCTAACAACACCTCCATTTACAGCCTGATGAGATAAACATATTTGATCAAATCACATTTTGTGTATTAGTTCTGAAATGCTTTGCTGATTACTTGCATGAATATTTTCTCACCGCAATGGCATCAGCAATATGCATGAAACCAAATATAATTGCCACCTCAGAAACCTTCCCTATGACATCTCTAAAAAAAAAAAGCAGACAGAGATTCCTGTTAGACACAAAAATATCAAAGTCGACCTGAAATATAAGCCTGAAGAACAGGAGGGGATTTTTTTTTAGCTCTCCTGTGAAGTATTATATATTAAATGGGATTTTATATTTTAGAATTTATTCTAAATAGGTATCGGATAATTCAGGTCCATCACATATTTTTCATAACTTCTTGAAATATAACAGTAATCTCACTAGTGATGAAAGAAAACCGTATTTAATCACAGGTTTATGACACACACTAACATATACATTCATGGTTAACTTAAAGTATTATGGCTTGTTTGAGAATCTCTGGGTATTTCATAACAGTGAGTTCATTTGTTGAGTCTAAGAAAGCTTTTTTGCTTTTGTAGTAGACCAGAGCTCTCTATTAAATATATTAACAACAATACTACAAATAACAAATCTCTGAGGGGTGTCCTATGAAGCAGGTTCTACATAGCCAAGCTTTTCTTTGCATTAGCTGGTTCGACAAAACCTAAAACCCCAATCAGAGAGAGCAGGTTAGGTGTGTTACGATGGCAATCCAGCCAGGTTAAAAAAAAAAAGAGCCACCTTCGTGACACTGAGGATTATTGGGTTACCAAGTTATGTTGAGTCTGAAGCAAGAGTTTTCACTTTGTAGTACACCTGTCTAGACCACTAATAATAATGCAAAACATTCTTGCTTTTTGCCACAGCCTTTAATTACCGCTCTTTACACTTGTATTAAACGCTGTCTTTCTCTCATTATTAAACGAACTACAATAGCATGGGCTTATATTCAATCCGCAACACTTTTTCTCTACTGATCTCTTTTCATTCAAACATTAAACTTGGTTCCTCTAAGTGTTCTGGTGTGCATTTAGTATGTCTTATAATTAACTAAATCAGTTCTCACCATGAGCAAACACTCATGGTGGGAACTGGGTCTCTGTGAATAATATTACAAAAGGTAAAGTCTAGACCTTCTCTATATGAAGAGTGCAATGATATAACTTCTGTTATGAATTGGCGCCAAATGAATAAAATTCAACCAAATTTGGAGCAATGGTCATTTTGTTTTTGTCCACCAGCTTGTTTTTGGGATAACAAGCTCGTGGACAAATCATGGTTTTGAAATACCAAAATACGACAATGTTTTATTAACTTAAATGGATGAGAAATCAATTCATGCTGATTTTAAAACTTCTGTCAATGAATGGAAGGTAATTGCATGTAATAAAAGTCTATACTCACTGATCAGTGGTGAAAATGTATCCAATGACGTTTCTAGTGATGATGAGAAAACCTCCAACAACACATGCAACTGTGACTGCAATAAGGAAAAAGAGACCACTTAGAACATGATAAATTTGAGCAATGCATGATTTGCGTTACAAGACTGTACACATGAAAATCTGCAGAAGCTAGAGAGCTTCTCATTGGGCGTTTCAGTTATAGCTCAATTGTTCGTGCATTTGTACCAAAGCATGTTTTGAGAATAGTTGCCAAACAAGCAAGGCGGCAACAGGCATACTGCACATTTAACAGTGTAATTAGTGGAAATTATATCTATCAATATTCATTGGCTACGCTGTGCTATTTGCATGGGGCTAACAGGGAATGCAACTAAAGTTTGAATGACAAAAAAAAAAAAAAATGCATGTCTAACCCTGGGCAGCCCAGTGCTGGTAGAGGCACAAAGACAATGCAAATAAACTTGCACTGGTAACAAAACCTACAAGCCAAGGACAGTAGTTTGTTAGCAGTGGTATTAAAAAATAAGAGCCACACTATTTTGGTTTTTAACTGACTAACAATGACTTATGAAGGTGAGTTTTAAAGGTAGTTACTAGGCTGACTAGCTTATTAGCTATGTAGGCTGCAAAATGAACTTGTTTGTTTTGCATGTCCTTCAGTAAGCTATTAAAGTGAATTTGGGTGGAGACTCTGCCTCACATTCAACTTTAGTGATGTTTAAAACATGAATTTACACCCATTGGGCCAATAATTATCAAACCATCAGAGTTGATCTTTCAATGTGCACGCGGTCATTGTGGCTAGCTATTAATGGCTAAGGAATATCTCTACTGCCGAGGCCACACTGTCTACCTCTACATGTGTGTGATGGCTACTTTGCTGAATTGCTGCAGCTCCCGTGTGTGCTCCCAGTGTGTCTGTCTGGACACTACTGTCTTGGCTGACGTAGTTACAGTAAAATTAATGAAGAATGAAAAAGCACAACATATTTACATAACAATCAATTGAAATCATTCAAAACACAACCTACTTGCGTTAAATCAGCTAGTATTGAACCTACATTGAAAACCTACAACATCCATGGTATTGCCTTATATTACTACTGCTTTGCTGACTGCATGTAATGTTCTCAACATGATGAAACACCTGTAAATGTTCTGATGAAGGTAGAAGCATCTAGAGACAACACCTTCAAGTGCACCAAAAGAGTGAGGCTACCAAATTGGGGTCTGCAGCGCTACAGATTTTGAGCATCATCTACGAATATATTTTCTTGTAAAATATCTACTTTGATGATGTTGTGGACAGGTAATGCAGACAATGCATACTGAACCACATTGGTCCTTACATGCACAGATGACGGGAAGCTTGCAAAATTGCTTGGCTTGCTCTATGTTTCCTGCGCCAAGAGCATTGCCAACCAGTACACTGGCAGCAGTAGAGAACCCCAATGGCAACTGGGGAGAAAATACAAAAATGAAAGTTTCGTTACAAATTTGTCTTGATAATAAATACAAATCAATTTTAAGTGTTCACCTCATTATAGGCATGAATGAATAGTTGATAATCAAATCTAGCTGCTTGTTTCACTATCTACATCAACAATGTTGTGTTACTGGGCCACAGATTCCAATTTTTTTATGCAGATGATACCATTTTATACACATTTGGGCTGTTCTCTAAAGATGACAAAGGCAGACTGTAATCTTGAGTTAGACATGCTTGCATAGCCTTAAGCTTAGGAAGACTGCTTTCCAGTACTTTGCACCATGTAAATGGAATGACTTACAGAGGACTTAAAGGCCCTTAAGATATATTTATCGATCAGTATGAGAGATGTGGTCCTAGATGAAAACAGTATTTTAGTTTGAAGAGTTTTGGTTATTTCACATGAGAAGTTTCTTTGTGCTGTTTTCTGTTCTTTTCAGTCAGGTCTTGCCAATTTGATTTTGATCTAAATGAGATTATCTGATTAAATAAAGGTTATATATAGCATTATCTGCTCTTAGCATTTTCACAACCATCACACCATGGCATGATCATTAAAATGTCATTATGGTACCTGGAATACCATTTAGCACAATACCATTTAGCTATGTTAGCGTTTTAGACTCACCCAAAATTAAAGGTGCAGTAGGAAACACTTTAGAGGAGTTACTAACCATATAAGATACAAAAATCAGCTGGTATATTATGGCCTGGGCTGCCAGCTCAGTGTCACTTATCATTCCGGCCAGCAATCCTCCCAGCTCAAATACCCACCACTCCAGGCAAAGCATGAGCATACTGGGGATGGCAAGCCAGATAAAGTTACCCCACTCCTGCAGACAGTCTAGGGACCAACCTGTGGGTCAGAGATGTGTTGGTTGTCATTATGTTAGAACGTACCCTAAGAGCAGTTGAATAAATTCAAAATACAAATACTATGCATGTATGTGGACTATTTGGAATGAAAATCTGACATTATTAAGACACTGGCGCCATCTTGTGTTTTCAAAATGTTCTCAGTGGACTACTGATTAAGAAGTTGTTTAAGACCACAGACTTGAGTGATGAACAGCATCAGAAAATTACTGCAGTCAAATCCATAATGAATTGAGAAATGAAAACATTGTTAAAACATGTCAAAATCTCTACAAAAATGGAGAAAATAACTAACCGTGCCAAGTTTCCTTCAATAGACCCTTCCAGCAGATATAAATATATAAGAGCACAGCTGTGAAATACTGTGAGATTGCACTGGCTGCTGCAGATCCACTTAAAGACAAGACAGCAGGTTTCAGTGCAAGAATAGCAAACATTTCTTCAATCATAGTATCCTCACTTTGCTGACAGCTGTTATGGCAATGTACTTTGTGTCCATGTGTTCAGTCAGATCATGACAAGGCAAACAGAAATACTTGCACATTGTAATGCAATCTGATACACTATCCTGTAATAGTACAAGTGTGAAACTAAAAATAATTGTTGTAGATGCTGTGTAACAGACATGTTGAGTCAAATGTATAGCAATGATTACTTGTGGTAGTTAATATTGTGTGTTGGACACGTGGACATAATGTGGAAAATAATGTTGAGACTGATAACAAATACCATTACATTTTAAGCTGTGGGCCCATGACTCTGTTCAGATAGTCAACCCAACCAGTAGGCCTAGGTGTTGAGATATTTCAAGGAAGGGTGGTTGACCAACAACGTGACATTGTCCTCCTTACAGACCTAACATGGCTATAATCTTTGGATTTCACAAAGACAATACGTATTACCGGATTGTTGTATCAGATTTTGTTACAGTATGCAGGGGTTTCCATTTTTCCAACTTTAGTTCTGTGAAATAACAGCTTAATTCTTTTTATAACAGAGTGGTTTGTGCTGTGATTGTGAATGTTACACATAATGACCTATGTAGGAAAAATGTACTTCTTACATATTACAATATTGACGTAAATGTTAGCAGAAATGAAAACCCATTGTTTCTGCTGATGTGAAAGATTGAGTGTTTAGTAGTATGCTAGTAATCTCTAATTTATAGTCAGGATGATTTCAAAACTCACACGACACCCAAATCCAGATGATAGAGGAAGATGTAGTTGGTAAGTGCATTAATGACATTTGCAGTAGCTCCAGTTATAACCTGAGGCCATATAATTTTCTGCAAACCACAACACAAGGTCACAGTATTAATTATACTTTAGCCATTATTCATTTTCACATCAGTTGTCTTGTGTTGAGACTGCACCTGATTCTGAAGACACTTTGATTGCAGCTGGTACATAAAAACAGCCTGACGAAGGAAGACAGATAAAAAGGCAAAAAGGTCACTTTGGCATAGAAAAAGAGCTAATTTGTGATGTTTAAACAAAAATCACCAGAAACCTGTCCATGGCAGTCTGTTGTGCATCTTCCTTCACTGTTACTCATTACCAAAAATTGGAATCTACCCAACTTAGTTGGTGATTCTCTCAGTTGGTGATAAATACTGTAATGTCTCCAAGGAAAACAAAGCCACCAAACTCACCGGGAGAGCAGGCATGAAGATCTTCACATACAGCTGGGAGAGCCTTCATGACACAAAAACAAATTGTAAGTTTGTTTGTGAAATCAAATGAGTGAATCACATAAAATGAATATATCACATATTGTATGTCATTATGTCACAGCTCAGAATAGACCACCATGTAAGACAAATAGCTGTTCTATGTATCAATACAATGTACTGGATATCAGAGCCCACACCACTATTGGATGACTGCCAATGGAGGTAAAGTTGGTTGCACTCTGTAAAACATTGAGATCCTGCTGCTTTTTAAAAACATTAAACAGAAGACTTTGTCCAGCATAATATGTTAGGACAGCACCAAGATGTGGGTGTTGTACGAAAAAAGTCTTAAAACTGGATTTGACAACACAACTGTTATATGTACACCAGATTGTTAATGGCTGTAGACAAGACTGCATGTTCAGCAGAAGTGTCACTTAAGGTGAAGGTGTATGTTGTTTTGGGGATTAATAATGACTGACCTGGCAACCTCTGGGCTCTGTTTGAAAGCAAGTAGGAGGGGTTCAGTGTTGATGAGGATGGCCCAGCAGGGGAAACAGGCCAGCAGCAGAATCAGAATCCCCCTCTGGAGAATCACACCCACACGCTTCAAGTTACCGCTCCCATATGTCTGAAGAAGCACAGTCAGAAAGCACTATTCATACCAATCATCAAGGTTATGACTGATCTAAGAAGACTAATTTGTACTGATTGTAGATTGTTGAGCTGTTTTAAATGGGACTTAAGCACAAACTAAATTTCACATTATATGACTGCCCTTGTTAGGTAAATACTTTAAGGTCAAAGAACATTACCTGAGAAATGAGGGTATCGCAAGTTAATGTCAAACCAGTGCCAATGGAAATACCAGTGACATTAACCACCTGCAGTTCAAAAAATGAAATCATTGTTAAGAACTAAATTTTTGGAGCAAACATGCATATTTATGGACACATTCATCAACGGGTAAATTCAAAAGCCAGCTTGTAGAGACAGTGCACGGCGACAAACAGGGTGGCAGCATAAAAAAAAAAGAGAAGAGTCAATGAAAGCTCCTCACCGCAGTTGCTAAAGATACCCCTGCAAGTTCTGTTTTCCCCAGGTGACCACAGAACACCATGCTGATGACACCGATCATGAAGACCATCAACTGGGATAAGACCTGGATGACAAACACAAACACAGCCCTACTTCATTTCTAGTTCAGAGGGACACAAAGACCGAATAGGTAAAATTTTAATAAAAGAGACAACTAACCATACATTTGCAGAGGTAAGTTACTCTGTGGCATAATTAAATAATACTTAATATTTCAGTCCACTACATTTCAGAGACTCTTTTATGTCACTACATTTAGGGCCTGATTTACTAATTCTGCGTGAGTAAGAACGTGTGCAAACTTGATATTACCAGCAAATTAACACGTAAGCTGATTTAACGGTGTGCACGAACGACGTTTTCGAAAAGCGCAAGATAGCACCTGTTGTTCATTTAGTACTTTTGCCTTAATGAATATGCAGTTTGGGGCGTAACATGCAAATACATTATATAAAACCTAGATAAATGAATAATAGATAATATTCTATATCCAATATATAGAAATACAATTATTATTCTTTTATTTGATGAAATATATGAATAGTAATTTTGTATTTTCATTTAGCTTTGGTCGAAATGAAATTTCCTTTATTAGCATGAATGTTAATACAACAGTATTGCCAGACTTCTTTTCTCTGTGAGATGGAATAATTTAGAAAGTTGCGTATTGCTGCGGAGAGCCGCCAGCTGCAGTAGTGCACGGATCACACGTAGAATTCAGCCAGAGGGAACAATCACCAGCTGTTCACAGCGTGCCGGTCTTAATATAGCGACACAACCCATTTTAGGCATCGGAGAGCGAACAGGGACAGGAGATCGCGGAGCAGTGATTGTTCCCTCTGGCTGGATGAAGCAGCTTAGTGCAGTCTTAGGCAGGATATTCAATTTTATTTATATAGCGCCAAATCACAACAGTTATCTCACAGCGCTTTTTATAAAAGAGCAGGTCTAGACCATACTCTGTGATGATATTTACAGAAGCCCATCAGTTCCCACCAAGAGCAAGCACTAGGCGACAGAGGCAAGGAAAAATTTCCTTTTAAGAGGCAGAAACCTCGAGCAGAACCATGGCTCAGGGTGGGCGGCCATCTGCCTCGACCGGTTGGGTGGGTGGGTGTGTGTGTGAGAGAGAGAGAGAGAGGCAGCCTACACAATATACACAGAGGTACAGACAGTGAAGGTAATGTTGCTATAGACTAAATGAAAAATGGTACAGATATTTATAATAGTGTTAATGGTAACCATCGTAATGTTAATGATTATAATAACAATAAGACTAGCAACAATAGTCGTTGCAGCAGAGGGTGTCGAGCAGGAACACAGGGGCAGCAGGTGACCCGCAACCACAGATCCAGAAAACCTGCAGGAAGTGATAGGAGAGAGACGAGAAAGCACAAGACTACCAGAAAGGGGAGAAGTTGTGTTAGTAACATGCAATAATGGGATAAGGTTGCATACAGAGGGAGAGAAAGTAGAGGAGAGAGGAGCTCAGTGCATCATGGGAAATCCCCCGGCAGTCTAGGCCTATAGCAGCATAACTAAGGGATGTTCAGGACTCACCTGAGCCAGCCCTAACTATAAGCTTTATCAAAGAGGAAAGTCTTAAGCCTACTCTCAAATGTGGAGATGGTGTCTGCCTCCTGAACCCAACTGGAACCTGGTTCCACAGGAGAGGAGCTTGATAGCTGAACGCTCTGGCTCCTAGTCTACTTTTGGAGACTCTAGGAACCACAAGTAACCCTGCATTCTGGGAGCGCAGTGCTCTGGTGGGGTAGTAAGGTACTATGAGCTCTTTAAGATAAGATGGTGCCTGACCATCAAGAGCTTTGTAGGTAAGAAGAATGATTTTAAATTCTATTCTGGATTTTACTGGAAGCCAATGCAGAGAAGCTAAAACAGGAGAAATGTGATCTCTTTTCCTGGTTCCTGTCAGAACACGTGCTGCAGCATTCTGGATCAGCTGAAGAGTCTTAATGGACTTTTTCGAGCAGCCTGATAATAAGGAATTGCAGTAATCCAGCCTAGAAGTAACAAATGCATGGACTAGTTTTTCCTGCATCATTTTTAGACAGGATGTTCCTGATTTTCGCAATATTATGTAGGTGAAAAAAGGCAGTCCTTGAAATTTGCTTAATGTGAGACTTAAACGACATGTCCTGATCAAAGACAACGCCAAGATTCCTCACAGTGGTGCTGGAGGCCAGGGCGATGCCATCAAGGGAAACTATATCTTTAGATAATGCGTCACGGAGGTGCTTAGGCCCCAGAGCAATAACTTCAGTTTTATCTGAGTTTAACATGAGAAAATTACAGGTCATCCAGGTTTTAACATCCTGAAGGCACATTTGAAGTTTAGCTAACTGATGAGTTTCATCTGGCTTGATCGATAGATATAACTGAGTATCATCTGCATAACAATGAAAGCTTATGGAATGTTTCCTGATAATATTGCCTAAAGGAAGCATATATAAAGTGAAGAGGATTGGTCCGAGGACAGATCCTTGAGGAACTCCATGACTAACTTTGGCGTGCATGGAGGACTCATCGTTAACATGTACAAACTGAAATCGATCTGATAAATAGGACTTAAACCAGCTTAGAGCGGTTCCTTTAATGCCAATGAAATATTCCAGTCTCTGCAATAGGATCTGATGGTCAATGGTATCAAATGCAGCACTAAGATCTAATAAAACCAGTACAGAGACAAGTCCTTTGATGCAATAAGGAGGTCATTAGTAATTTTCACCAGTGCTGTCTCTGTGCTATGATGAGCTCTAAATCCTAACTGAAAATCCTCAAATAAACTATTGCTCTGTAGAAAGTCACACAGCTGTTTAGCAACTGCTTTCTCCAGAACCTTAGAGAGAAATGGAAAGTTAGATATAGGTCTATAGTTGGCTAAAACATCCGGATCAAGTTTGGGCTTTTTCAGAAGAGGTTTAATTACAGCTACTTTAAAGTACTGTGGTACATAGCCTGTTGATAAAGATAGATTGATCATATCTAGTATAGAGGTGCTGACTAAGGGTAAAACATCTTAAAGCAACCTAGTCGGGATGGGGTCTAAGAGGCAGGTTGATGGTTTAGATGAAGAAATTATTGAAGTTAGTTGGTAAAGATTGAGGGAAGCAAAACAGTCTAAACATGTATCTGGTTCTACAGCTGTTTCTAAGGTTCCTGAGTTAAGAGATAAGTCGGTGCCAATTGAGGGCAGGTCTTGGTGAATTTTGTCTCCAATAGCTAGAATTTTATCATTAAAGAAGCTCATGAAGTCGTAACTACTGAGCGCTATGGGAATACTTGGCTCAATAGAGCTGTGACTCTCTGTCAGCCTGGCTACAGTGCTGAAAAGAAACCTGGGGTTGTTCCTATTTTCCTCTATTAATGACGAGTAGTACGCTGCTCTGGCATTACAGAGGACCTTCCTGTAAGTTTTAAGACTATCTTGCCAAATTAAACGAGAATTTTCCACTTTGATAGAACGCCAATTCCTCTCAAGTTTCCGTGATATTTGCTTTAATTTGCGAGTTTCAGTATTATACCATGGAGCTAACCATCTTTGTTTTAGTATTTTCTTTTTTAGAGGGGCTACAGAGTCGAGTGTCATTCGCAGCGAGCCTGCAGCACTAACAACAAGATGATCGATTTGGGAGGGACTGAAATTAGCATAGGAGTCCTCCGTTACTTTGTGACTAGATAATGTATTTAGAGCTGATGGAATCGCATCCTTAAATTTAGCTATAGCACTATCAGACATCTTTTATAGAAATTTTTGCCCAATGGAGTAGTTCAGCAATACAAACTCAAAAGTTATCAAACAGTGGTCGGATAAAGAGGGATTCTGTGGGAACACCACTAAATGTTCAATTTCAATACCATACACCAAAACAAAGTCGAGGGTGTGGTTAAAACAGTGAGTTGGTTCATGAACACTCTGAGAGAAGCCGATGGAATCTAACAAAGAAATAAACGCAGTACTGAAGCTGTCATTCTCAACATCCACATGAATATTAAAATCCCCTACAATAATTGTTTGTTTGTCTGTTTTAAGGACTAAAGTTGACAAAAACTCTGCAAATTCAGATAATTCAGAATACGGGCCAGGTGCTCGGTACACTATAACAAAAAGAATTGGTTGCAGTGATTTCCAACTTGGGTGCGAAAGACCAAGAACAAGGCTTTCAAATGAGTTCTAGTTTAGGTTTAGAGCTGATTAGTAGGCTAGAGTCGAAGATAGCTGCAACTCCACCTCCTCGGCCTGTGAGTATTGATATGACTGGGGGGGGTGGATTCATTTAGGCTAACATATTCTCCATCACCCAGCCAGGTTTCAGTAAGACCAAATAAATCAATATCATAATCTGATATTAGTTCATTTACTAGTACACCTTTAGAAGAGAGATCTGTCTACATTTAACTCTCCTATTCGTTTGCACTATTGCTCTTGTGGTTTTAATTTTTATGCACAGCTCCTCTTCGGTTTACCTTTTTAAATAATTTCGATGGTCGGGGGGCAGACACCGTCACTATAGGATTTTCACTAAGTAACTCCTGAAATGGAGGAGCAGAGAAGTGTGTTAAACTGCGACTCTGCCTCCTGGTCTCAACTCTGGGTTGTCATGGATTTGGTCCACTAATAAACTTGGCCAGATTTCTAGAAATGAGAGCTGCTCCTTCCCAAGTGGGATGGATGCCGTCTCTCCGATCAGACCAGGTCTTCCCCAGAAATTCTGCCAATGATCAACAAAGGCCACATCGTTTGCTGGACACCACCTCGACAACCAGCGGCGGAATGACGACATGCGGCTATACATGTCATCACTGGTCAGATTTGGCAGGGGTCCAGAGAAAACTACGGTGTCCGACATTGTTTTTGCATATGTACACACCGACTCAACGTTAATCTTAGTGACCTCCGATTGGCGTAACCGGGAGTCATTACCGCCGACGTGAATAACAATCTTACTGTATTTACGTTTATCCTTAGCCAGCAGTTTCAAATAAGACTCAATGTCGCCCGCTCTGGCCCCAGGGATGCACTTAACTATGGCCGCTGGCTTCGCTAACTTCACGTTTCTCAAAATGGAGCTGCCAATGATCAGAGTTGGTTTCTCAGCGGGTGTGTCGCTGAGTGGGGAAAATCTGTTAGAAACGTGAACAGGTTGATGATGCCCCGTGGGCTTTGAATGCTTACGACTATTCCTCCTTCGGACAGTCACCCAGCCCCCCTTTCCTGGCTGCACAGGAGATGCCGGAGGACGGCTACCAGAGGCCAACTCAGGCCGTTCCGCACCGACTACCGGGGACTGGCTAGCTACAGTAGCTAAAGACTGATCTACCAAGGTGCGGATCCGGACTTCTAAATCACTGAGCCTCGCCTCCATGTCTATAAATAAACTACACTTATTACATGTACCATTACCGCTAAAGGAGGCAGAGAGTAACTGAACATCTGACACACCGAGCAGGAGAAAGTAGGAGAGAGAGAGGGAGAAGGAGAAGCCATCGCTAGCTGCTAAGCTAAAGTCGCTAACGGCTAAGCTAAAGTACTGTAGCGTCAGCTACCAAAACTTTAGAACAACTATGAGATTGAACAGCAGCCACTAAAAGGAGGAAAGAACTGTGAGTGCTTAGGCAAAATTACTGTAAAGAATAAGTGTTTAGCGAACAGTTGGCCGCTGTAATCAAACAAATGTAACTGGTATTTAGCGAGAGCAGCACAACACGGTACCAACACACAAGCACCGGAAACGAGTCGACACGCTTACCGCAATACGTCAGCAGTCATCTGTGAAAGCATCAACATTTGAAATTAATATTCTCTATGATATGAATTCCACATACTGGGGACGCACTGAATGAAACAAACCAAGGTTTTTACGCAGTGGCTCCCAACTCTCCATGGCAGAAACCATTAAAACACGCAAAACCCTCATTTAAACACTCCCACCTCCATTGTGTTTGCTCCTGTTGTCATCTACGCAATAATTCTTAGTTGATCATCCATAACGGATACTACAATTACACGTGCAATATTTTGGAATGCACACGCAATTTAGTACTCTTTATTCGGGATGTTAGTAAATCGGGCCCTTAGTACGTAAGTGCCACTACAATGCCCTGCGATGGACTGGCGACCTGTGCAGGTTGTACCCGCCTTTCGCCCGATGTAAACTGGGATTGGTTATGGATGGATGGTGCCACTACAATTTTCATCTAAAAACGTATTTGTGCACGAATTAGGTTTTTGTTTATCTTCATTGCATCACTGGCGCCCTCTGAAATAAAAGCAGCAAGTAGCTGTCTTTCCTGAGCAAATAAATAAACATACATGTATCAAACACACATTACTACTGTAAATGTATAGTATAGGTTACTTGAATGCATACAAGAGGGTAGAGGCTAAATAGAGGCACTCTGGTACATACCATTGGTCCCACTAGTGTGAAAAGTGTCTTCAGGTCTTCCTGCGTTTTCAGCGGGATGAAGCGTCGGATGTGCTTCAGGCAGGAACTTTCATCAGTGGAGCCTTGACCAGAAGAAGCCGCTTCAACGGCTGCCGAGGCTTCGTTCACGTTTTTGCCATTAACCGCGGTTTCTGCAGAAGCGTCCATAACTGAATGCAAGGTCTATAGCCTACTGTAGTCAGCAAGGTCTAATTTTGAATGCTTCAACTTCAGCAGACACCAACTATAAAACAAGGTTGGTGAATGGTTGTCTTTATAACTAACAGAGGAGTCTGTGCCAGTGCACCTAACCACACCCCTGTGTCCTGAGCAACAGCTGCGACTAGGATTGTTTTAATTGCAGATTAGTTTCTTGATTAGTTGTTTGGTCGGAAATGTCAGAAAATGGTGGGAATTATTATTTTTCCCGAAGCTCAAGATTGTCCACAGCAACTCCAAAGATATTTGGTTTACTGTCATAAAAGAGTAAAGAAAGTGGAATCAGAGAATTTTGACTTTTTCAAAAACAAATTACTCAAACCGATTTATATCACAATAGTTGCCTAACAGAGGAGTCTGTGCCAGTGCACCTAACCACACCCATGTGTCCTGAGCAACAGCTGCGACTAGGATTGTTTTAATTGCAGATTAGTTTCTTGATTAGTTGTTTGGTCTGAAATGTCAGAAAATGGTGGGAATTATTATTTTTCCCGAAGCTCAAGATTGTCCACAGCAACTCCAAAGATATTTGGTTTACTGTCATAAGAGAGTAAAGAAAGTGGAATCAGAGAATTTTGACTTTTTCAAAAACAAATTACTCAAACCGATTGATATCACAATAGTTGCCTAATAATTTGATAGTTGACAACTTACATCACTACAGCAAGGTGAGGAGATTAACCACTGGGGCATAAAAAACAAGATATTTAGCGATTTTCAAAAAGTCATAATTTTGAAATCATCTCTAATAATTTTGATCCATAAGTGTATTTTGGACTTTAATATAATAGAATTGGTGCACAAAACACACAGTATGGCATAGAAGCTGTTCCGGATGTCAGTCATAGTGAACGATCTTCATCAGTAGATGGAATTTACCCAGTTGATATGGGATTGTAGATGTCATGATTATACAACAAATGCATTATTTATTTAAAGCGTTTGAATGAGCAACCTTAAATGTTTCTGCCCTGTATTGTTAAAATAATTTGATGTAATTTCAGAAAATATTAACTCCTCCCCCTCTTCAGGTTTATTCCTAGTGCCAGCCAAGAGTGTAGAGAATTATGTATCAGATGCAGTCACACCAAAGCTGGATAAATGTGATGTGGTTTTAATGATTTACCTTGACCTCCATATGCAACACCTCCAGTGAGGGGTTTCCCCTGTGTGAGAAGCTTTGTTTTACTGGCATGAGTTCTGCACAGCATGCCATACCATATACTAGAAGAATACTACTTTTAAACATTATGAACATGTTCAAAAGAATAATGAATATGATTTTGCTCATGTTGGACCATCCACAAAACTATAGAGGTTGCTTGTGTGGAGTAGAGGAGAATATTTTTTTTACTGTCACAAATAATTTCAATAAAAATATGTGAGCACATGGACACTCATATTTGGTATGGTAGTCTATTTTGCAATTTCCCCCCCAGTTCTGTCTATAGAGTAAAGACTTCCTGGATGTTTGGGAAATAAAAAAAGACTGTAAATGAACCCGTTTAACTGACCAAGCAAGGGAGGTACAAGTGAAACATAAAGGCAAAGTCCTGACATGGTTTTTATTGGTGGGAGTTGAGCATTACAAAGCAAGAGCAGACATTATCATTCAATCATTCACAGATAAAATCCCTGATGAAACAATAATGCATTTTATGGCTTATAACAGCATGCTTTGTGAGCACATATGATTTAAAAAAAAGTTTTCCATCACTTGTTAAATTTTCTCATGGAGATCTAGATAAAAAATAATTAAATTCTTCTCTGATGCAAATTGGGAATAAAATACAGGAAATTATATTCTGTTGCAACCACAGGGAACAAAACAGGACCAGTTAACGAAGAAAGTGTTTCAATTGCCATTATAAATATATATAGAAACACGGTTTGCAATAAATTGTGTTCCCAGTACTGCAGTGGTAAAATTATTTCTCATAAGGTTAATTTCTCCAGTGAACATGCAGGTCCAGTGTGCGTCAACCCTTTTTATTTTCAGTAACATTCCAAGTGAAAATGCTGTAATATTCCAACTTATCTGCAATAATAAACTTTACGTAAATCAGTGTTGTAAATTATTTTGTGACAAACGTGTTGAGTTCAAGGAACTCCAATGACAGGCTGTCAACCAATAACTGGGTCAGTTCGACTGATTTTTCTCTCAGACCCTCCCAAGCAATATGGCCATCAAAAGCTGGAGAAGCACATACAGATAGCCAAAAGTGCTACATACTACTACATACATGTCACTGGGTTACCGCTATTTGTGGGAAATCTGGAGTAATAATGCACTTAGTGTAAGGGACATGGCAGTCTAAGTCATTCCTGACTGTCCCCTAAGCTTAGAGAGACATGTGCAGGTTTTTATGATCTTAAGAAATCTTGCAGATTGCTTGAAACTTAAGATTTTTAAAATTCTCATAAGACTACATAACATACCATACCTATCTATTGGGAAGTTACAAGTCTCATATAGAATGAAGACTGTTGTTCTCAATGGACACGTTAGTTCTGAATGGTAAAAAAACAAAAACAAATTGATGTATGGAAAAGACTGGTGGTTGACAGCCACATCATCATGCACTGGACTGTTCAGTGTTTCAACTGGAGGTGGAGAAAGAGTGTTAACAAATAAATGAGAGAAAACCTATCAAATGTATTACATTCCTATTAATCATACCAAATGTCTGTGCAACAAGACAACAAATTGAATGTGCAAAGGTCTGTACCTCATCCAAACTGTTGTTTCATAAAGTCACAATATGCACATACATTAGCATTCTGCTACTAGATTTATAAAATGGCAAACACAGCTTCAGGTTTGATTTGATCAAATCACGTCTCACTCCAGTTTTTGGTTTTGTAAACAGTAACATTCAAAGAAGTCCTCACTGACAGCCTGGAGAAGGTTTGGATATAAGTATCAGTACACTGCAGTGATTCTTATCTTAACATGGTCAGTCAGTCAAACTAAAGGCCTGTGTATGTGTGTATAATGGAATAAAATACTGATTCACTGCGTATTTGAGGTTGTATTGAGGGTGTGTGAAAGGCCCACTACACTCATATACCACTACTCTTATCTAAAGCTATGCTTGTAAACATTTCCAAATTTCGTCCGTCCTTGTCTTTACATTCCTTGCTTGCTCACTGTAGTTACTCATACATTAAATAAATACAAATAATAAATAAACATAATAGATACATTCAAGTACATCAGTTCCTCAATACTGGAATGCAAGCAGGTTCTGCTTTTGCAGCTAGCACCACTCTACAGTCTGGTTGTTGGCTGTTTGGTTTGTGGGCTACATTACGTGCACAGCATACAGTCAGTAACCACATGCACCTCAACAATCTCAACCTTGCTCTATGATGAGAGTTTTTGCTGTTATTTGAACTGTCATGGAGCTCAGTGACACCAGTGTGTTTCCCAGGTAACCTCACATCACACTCTACATCCCATCCTAGACATGACTGTCCCGGGTCACACTCTGTCCACATCTGCAGCACATGTGGTCTCATGGTGACCTCATGCATCTGAGGTTCCAAACCACAGGTTGCTTGAAGGTCATTTCAAAGACTTAAAAGGTTGTGGTCCACTCATAGTGCAGTGAGGGTGCGGAACAGCTGAGTGAGGCAGAAGACAGACGCGGTGAGCGCAGTGCACTGTTTAGCTAACAGCTTGGTGCTCAGGTCCTGGCAGCTGCGCTTGCTGCTGGCTCGCTCCGCTGCCAGACAGAAGTCCCGGAAAGAGCGGGCCACATCTGCCAGACCTGCAACTGCCTCTGCGTTCCTTCGGTCACACCTGTCGCAACCAGAGAACCAGAGGCATATACCTGCCAACTCCACCAGGGTCCGGAAACTGTCAGCCAGGGAGTGAAGCATTTCCTCTGGGCTCTGTCCGATCCCCACCACCTTCTGGCAGCCTGACATCAGCCGCCGTGCCTCTAACTGTAGCATCCGCTTGTTCTCTGTAAAGTGGGCAGGGCACGTGTCCCTTGGGTGGCGACCTCCATGGCCTGAAACAGATCTGTCAGCACCGCTACTTTCCAGAATGGAAAGCAGTTGGTCCACGTCTACACGGAGTACTTGGAAACCTGTTGGGGGTTCTGGATAGCGCTGCTGGCCTAGCCGACTGATGGTGTCCTTGTGCGTTTGAGACAGGTAACGGTCAGAGGTGTCAGATAGTGGTGAAAGGAGAGGGCTGAGCTCAGAGGTAGAGGAGGAGAAAAGGATGGAACGTGGGAAGGAGGGAGAGTGGGTGGAGGAGGGGGACAGAAAGGAAGGAACAGGTGGAGAGGTCATGAGAGGAAGGCCTGCTCCAGAAGTCTGAGTCACACCGCTGTTCTGTGTGCGGCAGGAGAACTCATAGACTGTCAGCTCGTCGTCAAAGCTGTCCCCGCCGCTAAAGCAGTTGGTATAGACTGCTGGGCAACCACAAGCATCCAGCGGCATCTGCACCCCTTCCACAAGTGACTCACAACCAGACGCGAGCACAGAACTGCAGCTAAACTCAGACTTCAAGGACGAGGTAGTCCCCACCTCGGCTGAGGTCTTTGTCTGGGAAGGATCCTCACAGATGGTAAACACCCTGCAGCCTGAAGAGAGTGTTTTTGGCGAGTCTGAATTCTGCCCTGTAGGCCTACAAAGATCCATCAAAGGCCTGTCGCTACTGGTCCGTCTTACTTTCTGTGACTGACTATGAAAAGGGAGTCCTGGCCCATTTAGATTCTGTGTGGTCACCACTATTGGAGGGGGGACAGAAGGTGAAGCATCTTTTATAGGGCCAGGAGTGTCCATCTTTAGGCCTGAAGTGTCTCTGTGGAGGCTGTTTGCTATGGAGGCTGGAGGCTCTGTTATTGGTCCTGGTGTGTTTTTGATAGGTCCAGAGTACAAAAGTTGATTTTGGTGTTGGGATCTGGGCTCAGTCTGGACAGGCAATGGAGAGCCTACTTCCTTCACCTCTGACACGGAGGTTGTTTCGACAAAAAACTTCCCATCCACCTCTGATCCTGTAAACGTTGTATCTGAATCATCTGACTCCACTGATTCTGCAGTTGTGTCCATTTCAAAGTCTATCGTTTGTGTGACATCATGAACGTCCGTAACTTTGATGGTAATCTCGACTTCATTTCGACTGTCGTCCTTAGCAGGACTCTGAGCTAGATTCCCCACCCCAGCTTGGTTTAGGGTTTCCTGGGAGTGTGATAAATAAAGGGGCAACTTTTGAATCTTCCCCCTAAGTGTGGAAGCAGAGAGGCGACCCATAATGCTAGGCGCACAGGTCTGGAAGAGGAAGTGAGTTGGAGAAGGAGGCTCTTTGGAAAGATTGTGGATGGTGGCTGTGTTAGCTTTCGCTATGACAGGACTAGCTAAACTATCTTTGGCTTCAGCACTTGGCATGGTGAAATCAATTCTCGGTTTGTTTACATTTTGATTTGAACATGAAGCACCTTCATATGCAACCTCACTTTTCAATCTAGTATCTGAATTAAATGTAGGAGATGTTACACTTGTCGCAGCTCCAAGCTTTGCAGTGATAGAGTTTATAGTACGGGTATAATCAGAGTTAACTGAATTTATTCTTGAATGAGCTTCAGTGTTGGGAAGAGACTTAAGAGTTATTTGAGAGTCACTTTTACCTGCTGTAGCTGAATTAACACTAATACTATAGTTTGAGGCTATAGTCCAGTCATCTTTCTTGTCAACCGAACTAGAATTTAAGGAATTATTCATCTCATCATCATCAAAAACATTGTCTGAATTGGTGCTGTCGGTAATTTCATCACTAGAAGTCACAGTAGAACCAACAACACTTATAGCTTCATCTTCATTAACGCTGGTGGTGACTTCTAAATATAATTGTGCTTTTTTACTGCGATTTTGTTTGCTAAGTGGTATCTCATCAGAACTAGATAAATACATTTTGGTTGAGGTTCCCGTGTTTTCACTGCCCCCTTCTTCCCTCACCGAACAGTCACTTTGGGATTTGTGAAGAACTGGTACCAGAGGCAGAGGCGTAGATGGTGGAGGGGGTGGTGGTGAGTATGATGGAGCGTTTGACTTTTCACACACACCTTCAAGCATATGTTCCTCTATATATGAGTTTTGCTCTAGGCCTATCAGATGGGCTCCCAAAATGCCATTGCTACCCTTTTTATTCACTTCTATCAAACATGTAGGCAGTGTGTTGTCCTCTGGCAGCCTTTCAGCATCCACAAGTGATCTCTCTGAACTGGCTGAGGACTCTCTCACCCCTTCTTTCTTCTCATCTTCCCCCTTACCTTCCTCTTCAGTGATTTCTGACAAAAACATTCGACGAGTGAACGACCCATTCCCAGACACACCCGTTGTCTCCTCTGTCTCTCCCTCCTGTTTCCCCTCACCCATCTCGTTTTGTCCCTCCCCTTCTTCCTTTCCATCACCCCTCCGATCAGCACTCTCCTTCCCGTCTGGATCCACCCGGCAGCGGACAACTGTTATTGTAGGAGACAGTGCCTTCACCAGATCTGTGACTGATTTGGATTCCATTGCATCAGGTTCCATCTCCATTTCTTGTGTCCTGGTCCTGGATGGGGCTTCTGGGTCTCTAGTCTGCTCATGAGACCCAAAACCAAATGGAGAACCAGGTCCATGCAAGCAGGGTTTGGACAGGATGGGTTTTGACTCAAGCTGAGCCGGTTCACCTTCAGAGTGAGTCAGGGAAGAGACAGTAGGACTGGGATTCTGGGTTTGTGCCGAAGGTTCAGGATCTGAACTCAGCACCTGCGCATCATTGGCTTCTGCCAAAAGGTTCTTCTGAAGCCTACTAGAGACCAAGTCCTGCTTTGATTCTGGATTTGGCTCTGGGTATGACACCCTAGAGGTATAATCAGTTTCCATGAAGGAACGGCGCTTACGGGATCTTTTTCTGAGCTGGAACAATGTTTCTCTGCCTCCTCCTTCCTCGTCTCCTCCTTTTCTGTCTTCTTCTGCTTTTCCATCTGTGCCTGCATCTGTCACAGAGACCGAGATGTCACTCAGGCTGAGCGTGTCCAGTTTCATCTCTGTGCATATACCTGCAAGATAGTAAAAAGAGTTTTACAAAACAAACAAATTCTGATTTTGTATCACTCTGTTCACGGTTATGTGAGCTGCAACTTTTCTGAATCTTATTTTGGTCTCCCGCGCTTTGACTGTTTTAGTTTGACTTCTGCTAAGGCTAAGACAGGGAGGAAATAGGGTTGGACGATTTCACCTAAAATCAAAATCACAATTAATTGAACATGTCACCTTGATTACGATAATTGAATGATGATTTTGTTTTTGGATGTTGTTTTTTGTTGTTGTCTTTTTTGCCGTCAAATTTCACTGACAGGGTTTGTACTGTAAATACGCTTAACTATTAAAGCTGGATTTATTTATTCACCGATTTTACAAATCCATTAGGCTAAATTTTAATTAATAAGGTAATGTTAACGTGCACATACAGAGACATGGTTCCACTAGATATTCGGCGCATCGCCGCTGCTGAATTATACCGCTGCTACTAAAATTTCTTTAAAATTATTTAATATCAATGCGGAACAAATGATTTTCACCTGCACGCTGTGTGAGCACAGTACATGCTTTGCTAGCTTCCTCTCCTCATTTGTCAAAGGACATCTATGAGACAGGTGCTGTTATCAGAGCAGCAGAGTTAGGTCTTTTAACTGCAGCGCAATGTGTTTGCGTAGCGAGTGAGTAGACGAGCGAATGAGGCTGAAAGCGCCCCAGTAGTAAATGTACAGTGTAGGTCACAGCATGTCCATTATTAAAAGCCTTTCTGTTGTTTCCACAACTGCTGGAAAGTGAAGGCGATTATCCTAGCTAATATCTCCCTGTGCTTCGGACTCAGGACTGGACGTGACAGAGTCACATTACCACACACGTGGTAGGATGTTGCCAAAAGGATTAGCAACTTGATTTAACTTTAACTGGTAGAAATATATGTAGGGGAGAAAAAGTACAACGTTTTTCTTTGAAATGTAGTATAAAGTAACACAAATTGAAAATACAAGTACCTCAAAGCACAGTACTTTATATATGTAGTTGGTTACTTATCTTTGTGTTGAGCATAATGGATGTAATGCTATATATCTTCTGACAGGAGAGCAAGATTGCACTGAGCTCTATAGGCTCTATGGTTTGAATCTTTATAGTCAGTTGACCATATCCAGCATCACTGTTACAGTAGGTGTGGTCAGAAGTGTGGTCTACTACTTTCCTGACAATTACTCTATAATGGAACGTTGCATTACCTTTGTAACTTTCACCACTAGATGGAAGCAAAAGCTGAATAAAAAGCCGCTTTAATCACTACAGGGCTTGTAAATGACAGAAAATGCATGTGATCAGAGTCACAGTGAAAACCAAATCACCTCTTGGCATGGCTCCGCAGGTTGGGTCTTCAGGTGAGGTGAAGCGATCTCTGGCGTCAAAGAACTCATCATCAGAACTGCTGTCACCAAAGCCAGGCGGTGGCTGAAGGATGGGGATAGGCTCCAGGTCAACTGCCTTAGCCGGATCCCCCTTCACCTCCACCTCGTCCCAATCTTCTCCCTCATTATGATGTAGGGGGTGGGGTAGGCCACGAGCGCTGTCGGGGGTGATGTTGGTGCAGAGTTTGTAGTAGCAGCGAGCGTCGCTCTGGTCAAAGTTAAACACAAACTCCATGTGGGAGGACGGCGACATAGTAAGTGGATGTTCTTTGAAACTACCGTCCCCGCTTATGCTTCCTCCTTCACCTGCTCTTCTAACTGACTCATCCATTTCTTTCAACATCATCCTCCTTCTCCTCCTCCTTCTCAACTCCTCTTCTTCATCTTCGTCATCTTCGCTGGCCTCCGGAGGGCTCGGCAGGAAGTCCACAAGGCGAGAGAGCTCAGCGAAACACAGGGAGCTGTCATCAGAGCAGGGGTTACCTGAACATTTTTGGATGTGGTGGAGGCTCGGAGAGAGGGACACGGGTGCGAGGAGTTGGGGATCGGCTCCGTCACCTGACCTCCTGCAGACCCCTCGTCCTCTGTCATGAGCTGTGAGGTGGATAAGAGGATGGGAGTGAGCAGGTGGAGGGGAGAGAAAGTGAGACTGAACATGCCTATCAGAGTGGGGATGCAGCTGTAGCGGAGAGTGGATGTGGGCATGAGTTTGTGAAAGAGCATTGGAGTGGATGGAGGAAGAACATGAAATTAAGTCATCTTCCTCCAAAGCATCAAGGGAGTCGCTGGAGGGGCTGGTGAGGACACGAGAGTCAGAATGACAAGAATCTGTAGCTTCAGATACAGATGGCTGCTCCTCTGCTGCTCGCACCTCTACTCCCCCTCCCATTTTACCTTCTTGTCCCACGTTTTCCCCTTGCTTCCCCGGATCATTGTCCGTTAGCTCAATCTGTATTTGCTGACCATCCTGCGCACTCTCTGTCTCCTCATTGTGCTCCCTGTCTTCATTCTTACCCTGTCTATTCTCATCTGGCAGAGACTTTTCCTTTTCAGTATCAGCATCCTTTCCTTCCTTTTGCTTTTTATCATCCCAAGGTTTAGCTCCCTTTTCTTTGCCATCTTTGTTTCTCCTTCTGTTTCTGTCTTTTCTTTTTCTTCCGTCTGGGTCTGATGAGGATCTGACACGTGGGCAGGGCTTCTCGTCATGAGACACGTGGGTGACCAGCGGTTCCATGTCCAAGTCTGAGGAGGTGTCTGAGTCGCTGCCACACCGTGATACATAACCTGCGAACGTACGGCAAGATTAAAACAAGTTATTTCTTATTTTGAACATCCTGGCGTGTGACTTTGATTTTTATGGCTGTACGTTACTGTAAATGAGTACCTTCCTCAGCAGACACTCTGTGCTTCTTGGACTCATCTATCCAAGGAAATATGTTGAGGTTTGGGTCAACAAATACTCGACAGTACCCTGCTATTAAGCAGGACATATCTTTGGCTGCTACCGACTCCAAAAGCAACGTGATGGGCTTTGTATGAGAAAGGAGATAATATGATATGAGATGAAACAAGGAAAGAGATGGAATGGTAAAACAATTTCACCAGTGGAAAAACACTTGGCATGCAGTAACCGTGTTGTGTCAAAAAACTTGACAAATAAGTTCTATTTCTTTTCAAGCTGAATCAAGAGCAACTGGACTTGGTTGAAGAAACTATTCTACTTTGTCTCATCCAAGAAACTTCTTCCGTTCTGACTGACTAGTAGAGAAACTCGGCTATTTAACCTCTGTGGGGTCGATGTCAAAGATAGTCCATACCACTGGTTAACTAGTGCTCCTGGATGTTGTAACCACAGTCGTTACGGTCGTTGGAGTCACTTGAGCCTCTGGTTGCTCCAATGACCATTAACAACTGTCGGATGAGGGACGAAACGCCTTAGATAATTATGACCTGGATGACTGAGAACGTTCACATACATTAGAACACAGCTACAATGGTGGGTCACATTAAATTAAATGCTAATTAGCAGTATTCTTAAGCTATTAAAGAGGTCTGGCAGTCAGCAGCATGATTTGTAAACTTCCAGACCTCTGAAGTGGCTAAAGGCTCGTGCAGACTACACAACTTTCCGCGATGGCCGTGCTGTTCACACTACGCAACTTGCCGTCTTGTGACGGGAGTCTTGAAGTCGTTGTGGCGTTCACACTATGTGACTGATTGGTGACAGGGGGTCACACACTACACAAGCTGACAGCGGCTGTGTCACCCGACGCTGGTCTCCAAACCACGATTTGTCAAGAAAACACACGTGAAATGGGAAATGACGCGACCTATACATGAAACAGTTGTTGTTTGTTATTACAAAGGCAAAGAATATGGATGAAAGAATGGATTAGCACACGCAGGTAGCAGGGGTTACCTGATCGTCTGAGCTACACTTCCCATTTCCACACAAAAGTATTTAACTACACCTCATCTGTTCCCTTCCCCTCTGATTCAGTTTTCACATCCCTTCCACCCAAATCTCCCCTTTTCATTTTTCTTCACCTTCTCTCTCTTTTGTTTGAATACAGGAACAACCGGGGCCTCTATTCAAAGCAGAACACATGAAGAGACACCTCGACCCCCCTTGCTCACTCCTATCTTCCTGCCACCAGCTGACACCATTCCATCGTTCTCTTTCATCCATCCGTCCATGACCGTGATCTTTCCCTAATGTACCTAATAATAGAACATTTGTAGCAGTGTTTGTAATGTGAATTCAGTTACTTCAAAGTAAAAGTGCTCTTTGATGAGGTTTACACTTTGTCTTCTCCCTGTATGTTAGGTGTGTGACGTGTGTGTACAGTGCTGCTCTTACCTTGATGTCCTGCAGGTATATTTTGACCAGGCTGACCTTATCGGATTCAGGCAGCAACTCGATGCGTGTGATGCTGGTGAACTCTGTGAGGGTGGACAAGATGCTTAGTTTGTGGTTGACCACCTGACTTATCCCAAAGCGTGCCCCCACCAACAAGGTCACCATCGACTCCCTGTCCTGGAGCTAAAGGGTAGGGAAGCAGGAGAAGGAAAAAGAAAAACGGAGGAGGAGAAATTATAGAGAATTAGAAGATTGAAACTTCAATCAACCATATCTCAACAAAAAATGAACATATAAATAAACAGTCTAACCATCATGGTGGCACTGAAGGATTTCCCCCCAAAGGACTTGAGATCACTTAGCTCCTCCAGGTAGTTTATCCGTGCCTGATCAACTGACAAGCCCTTCTGCTTAGGATCGTGCTGTGACTGGCTCTTCTTCATGTGGTAGCTGATGGCCTTCCTCAGATCTTTCTCTCGCATGTTCCTCAACAAGGTGGATGACACAAAGTTCTCTATGCCCCACGTCTTCCTGGAGCAAACACAGAAACACAGACTGAGAGGGTCCGTTTGTGGATCCAAAACTGTTAAGACTCCCTTATTGCCCCTTCAAAATGGTAGGACCAATATGGAATCCCACTTTGCGCTGTTGTCTACTATACTTTACTACAATCTCACGTGATAATCTTCAAATTGGTCTTTGGTGACTGTCCACAGCTCGTCAATCTCTCCTGAATATGCAGCGCAGCGAGTCGCAAGGCCGTGTTACACCTCATCTCTATTGCAAAGCGTTCCTGCAACACATCATTCACCCCCTAACACACACACACACGCTGAAAAACAGCACTGGCAGTAACGACATAAAAAATCTGTATCCAAATATTATTGAGAAACAATGTTATGTTTTGTACACATTCATGGTTTTTAAACTACTTGTATGTCTCATCTGCAGCATTTACTTTTTACTACTGAGTTTAGCAAACAACATGAGGTACCTTAGTTTAAAAACTAACAAGAATGTACATTGGGAAGGATGTTTTGGCTTCCCTCATAACAGTGAGTTTCTTTCACTCATGCAACATGATGCAATAACAAATCAGGGTTTGCTTATTAAGTGTCCTTGTTTCCTTATTTCAATCAAGGCACTACAGCGCAGGAATAAATGTATGGTGGAATTTCATGAAAAGCTCCTGCAGCAATAACTGGACTTTTTTGGAGGTGTTATAGAAAGTGGTGATGGGGCAGTGGATAAGACACATGCCTTTGGTGTGAGAGACCACCAACAACGTGTCCCTGAGCAAGACACTTGCGTGTGACCTCTAACATACATAGCGATTGTAAGTTGCTTTGGATAAAAGCTTCAGAAAAGTGTATAAATGTAAATGTATAAATGTTACAAAACAAGACAACAAGTATCAAAACAGGGTCATAAAGAGTTAGTTAGGTCAGCGGTTCATTGGTCTACCTGCAGGTAGAGGTACTCAAAGGTAGTGGAATCCTCCTGCAGCAGCGTCTTGAGGTTTTTGGGCATGAAACAAACACGAAACAGACATCTGTAGTCGTGGGCCTCTTTCTTCTGAACCACCTGAGCACACACACACGCACACTTTGCTTCAAATATATACTTTTGGATGCAGGCTAAAGCTTTAGTGTAACAGATTAAAACCACTTCCAAATGGAGCTGTAATGTAGATATGTACATTTGAGGAGATATGTGAAATAATCATCTTTAGTGAGTGTGTGTGTGTGTACCTGCTGTATTCTCTCCTCATCATGTAGCAGCAGTAGTTTTGTAACACTGTGCTGCTGCTCCAGCACCAGGGAGAAGTGTTCAATTCGACTCAGAGAAAGCTTTTCTTTCAGTGTCATCACAATGTCCTGATGCACAAAGAAAATTTCATTATATAACATCAGGAAACATAATTGCTAAGGTGAGGTTTATAGCTCTCAATGAAGGAAAGTCTTCTAATATTGATAAAAACAGAGTGAGTAAATGACATCAGTTGTAGCTTTTAAATTAGACTATAAACTCAATCCAATATCATCTTAGTTAAATGGTTAATTTTAAATAGATGCTTAATGCAGGCTTGACACTACATCACATTAATTGAGCATTAAAAATTGGCTTCAGCTTTTGACTTGACTTCAATTAAAAATGCACTTCATGAACCTCAGCACCATATCTGAACAACACAAGTATGAAGTATAAGGAAGACACGAAGTTGGTAATAAATAGGAATGGACATCAATATGTTAGACTGTATCACTGCATGGTACCTTGACTGTGGTGCTGGGTTCAAATTTAAAGGCCTTGGTTTGCCCATTCTCCAGATACACCTTCAGAACGTTAGGCAGGAAGAGCAACGAGTTGCCCTGCAGAAAAGGTCAGGGGTCAGAGGAAGTGTCAGATAAAACTGTGACCATCTTAAAACCAGCTGGTTCAAGTAACCTGACAGGGAGACATGAGATACAGTCAGAAAAAAAGCGCTTTATGTCTATGTTTGAGACATATAATTCAATGGATAGGGTTTTCAAAACCAGAAAAAAAGAAAAACAGAAACAGAAAAAGAGATAAGAGACATATGTATTTCGTACACACATACAGTCCCCTCCAAAAGTATTGGAACAGTAAGGCAAATTCCTTTGTTTTTGTTGTTCACTGAAGACATTAAGATCAAAAGATGAGTATGAGACAAGAGTTCAGAATTTCAGCTTTCATTTCCTGGTATTCACATCTAGATGTGTTAAACAACTCAGGACATATCACCCTTTGTTTGAACCCACCCATTTTTCAAGTGAGCAAAATATTGGAACATGTGACTGACAGATGTTTCTTGTTGCCCAGGTGTTGCCTTTTAGGTTGATTGTCCAAACATTAAATATCTCTGCATGACTAGTCTAAGTTTTCATCCTTGGTTCAAACCTATAAAAGACTGCATTTCCTGTTAAAGAGGATAAACCAACATGAAGACCAGAGAGCTGTCTATGGGAGAAAAGCAAGCCATTGTCAAGCTGAGAAAAGAAGGAAAATCGACCAGAGCCATTGGACAAACATTGGACATAGCAAGCACAACAATTCGGAACGTCCTGAAAAAGAAAGAAACTACTGGTGTACTGAGCAACAGACGTCCAACAGGTCGGCCAAGGAAAACAACAGTAGTTGATGACAGAAATATCGTGAAGAAAACCCCCAAAACATCAGTAAGTGACATCACCAACGACCTCCACAGTGCAGGTGTGAAGGTATCACAATCCACTGTTGGAAGAAGACTCAGAGCAGAAATATAGAGGCCACACTACAAGATGCAAACCACTCATCAGCAGGAAGAATCAGATGGCCAGACTGAAATTTGCAAAGAAGAACAGAGATGAGCCGCAAAAGCTCTGGAACACAATCTTATGGACTAATGAGACCAAGATTAATCTGTACCAAAGTGATGGAAAGGCCAAAGTGTGGAGAAAGAAAGGAACTGCTTATGATCCGAAGTATACAAGCTCATCTGTGAAGCATGGTGGAGGTTATGTCATGGCTTGGGCGTGCACGGCTGCTTCTGGCACAGGCTCATTAACATATATTGATTATGTAACTGATGATGGTAGCAGCAGAATGAATTCAGAAGTGTACAGAAACATTTTGTCTGCTAGACTAGAGCATGCATTTCACCTCCTTAAGAGGAGACTGAAGGGAGAAACACCCCGAAACAAACGAGAACTGAAAGAAGCTGCGGTAAAAGCCTGGAATAGCATCACAAATGAAGAATGCAGCAGTTTGGTGATGTCGATTGGTCGCAGGCTTGAGGCAGTTATTGCAAGCAAGGGTTATGCCACCAAATATTAAACGTTATTTACTTTAACATTATTTGTTCCATTACTTTTGCTCACCTAAGAATGCTGTGGTCTACAAAAGGTGGTATGTCCTGAGTAGTTTAACACATCTAGATGTGAATACCAGGAAATGAGAGCTGAAATTCTGAACTCTTGTCTCATCTTTTGATCTTAAAACCAAATGTCTTCAGTGAACAACAAAAACAAAGGAATTTGCCTTACTGTTACAATACTTTTGGAGGGACTGTAAATTCACAAATGCAGAGACATTTACCTTAACGGAATAAGGTTATTATAAGCCTTTAGTTGGAAATATGTTTTCTGAAGCAATTTAAAAGAAGAAGTCTGAGTTTTCTAAGTAGGTTGTTCCAGAGTAACAGCAAAAGCTCTGTCCTCATGGGAACAGCCAACAGGCTCCTGCTTGACGACCTCAGACGGCGTACAGGTTGATAAAGGCCCAGTAATTAAGAGAGAGTCTGGAGCCAGGCCATGAAGTGCTCTAAAACTAATGAGTACAATCTTAAATGTCATTCTGTAAAACTGGTAGCCTATGTAAAGACATTAAGAGGGGTGTAATATGGTTTGTGTTTGATGTCTAGCGGCTGCATTTTGTACAGTGAATTGTTTTACCATTATACCACTTAGGAGGGCATTACAGTAAATAAATATATAAATAAAGTCTACATGTGAGGAAATGAATAATAATATTAGGAGTCGGGTAACCGAGATAAGTAGCTGATGGTGTTTATTCTCCAGTCTTTTGCCAGTAAACCATTGCAGAAGAAGAGGGTGCAATGAGGTGAGGTAATTAAAAGAGCACTAGTCAAACCTCAAACGATGGAAAATGTGGTAAACATGATGGAAATATGACATTTATGTTTGTTTCATATATTAATTTAAGGTTACAGTCTCATCACTCCACACAGATCTTAATGTGATCTTAATTGAAAATGTGCATAAATGCGACAAGAATTCAGTTTTATTGGAATTCGTTTGAAGACATTTCACAGGTACTTTTGCTTTTACACCCAAATATGATTCATTGTCATTTTGATTTACTTCAAAGCCAAATGAACTAAATAGCTAAAATAGCTTAACACACTTCAGCATACTTGCACAAGGAAAGGGAGAGATTAGCCTCATCTCATTTTCACCTCTTCTCATAGAGCATTTCTTCCCATCATATCCTCTGGCCTGTTTCTGTCTGCTCAGCTTGTTCACTGTGGTGAGTCATCTTTCTTCATCATCCTCCTTGTTCTCTTAACATTTTGGAAAGTGTTTTTCTGTATTGACACTGTGGTGTAATGCAACATTGATGTCTGTATGTTTCAAATGGAGAGCTTTCACATTTTAGACAACCCCTCCCTTGTCACCCTCCTATCTTCTATTTCTCTTGTTTCCACTCCGTTTTAATGATGGCCAATACAGCCAACCCCCACCCACCCTCTGGGTCTCCTATCTCTATCTCTCTCATTAAGCTGATGCTTATTGTCCTGTAATCACAGACATTAGGACTGGCAGCAGACATTGATCTGTGTTTTCTGTGTGATTAGTAATGGGCACTCCAGGCTCTGTGGTTTTCCTCATCTAGCTAATTTCACATCCGCTGGCAGGATGGGAACTCTGACCAACCAGAGCCGGGGTGTACTGCACACTGTATGGAATAATACTGACCAATTATTAATAAATCTAATTTTAAAGCACTGTCTGTTGTTTCAAAAATGTTGATTAATCTAAATATAGGAGACCTTAAAGTGAGATTTCTTCTAAACAAACAAAAGTTGTTTACATTCAGAGCTGTGCGATACGACTAAAATCTCATATCCCGAAATAGATCATTTCATATCCCAATAACGATATACACTGAACAAAATTATAAACACTTTTGTTTTTGCCTGGGTGTGCATTAGTTGGGCCACAATAAAAGGCCACTCAAAAATGTGCCAGCTTAAGGCACACCTGTGCAATAACCATGGTGTCCGATCAGCATCTTGATACGCCACACCTGTGAGGTGGATGGATTATCTCGGCAAAGGAGAAGTGCTCACTAACACAGATTTTGACAGATTTGTGAACAATATTTGAGAGAAATAGGCCTTTTGTGTACATAGAGAAAGTCTTAGATCTTTGAGTTCAGCTCATGACGAATAGGGGCAAAAACAAAAGTGTTGCGTTTATAGTTTTGTTCAGTGTATATCCCAATATAGAAAATTTTTTATAAATGAAATGAAATATTATGAACTCATTATTTTTCTCTGCATCATAAAAGGTGGAGCAAGTTATTCTGGAGAAATCCAACACCAGGACAAATACCATGATATAGAGTGACCAACGGCACAGCTTGTAATGTAACAAACGTTAGCAGAGTTGTGGGTTAGCAAGCTGTTGCTACTTGCTGCTGCAAAGTAAACATGAGCGGACGAGACAGTCCCAGAGCAACACAACAGCTCCAGACAGAGATACAACTCTCCTGCTGCTATAGCTAACATCACAACAACAGCATGTGTTGAACTAGAAAATAAGCTGAATGTCTGTGGGCAAGTAATTAAACATTACCTTGCCATGGCTGGAACTGCTGGAATAATGCTGTGCGGCTCATCCAGACAACAGACTTCTCTCTTTGGTATGAACTCCTGGTTTTTGCTTGTATAGTCTGAGTCCCCCTGTTCAGTATTACCCAGTTATGAGTAAACTTCACTCTCCTCCATGTTTGTTTATTCTGAATGCAAATTTCTTCCCTGCAATACCGGATGGTGTATCGTCATATCGGACAGCCCTAATTACATTCAGTGTTTCTCACCATTACAAGCCATAGTATTTTAAACCCTACATTGCAAACATCAATGTTTACTAGTTTTCAGTTCTCTTCTTCTTTGCCTTTGCTGCAGCATAACTTGGAGTGTTTTGCCACCTGTAGATCAGTGGAACAGTGTGAAACCATTGGTAGGACCCATGCATATGCATAGGATAAACAAAATAAACAAAATAGAGATAAACAAAATGAGGATCCACTCAGGAAAACAGCTTCATAGCACTACTAGAGGTTTAAAACTCCACAGAAACCTTTAACTCAGTGGGTCCCAGCCTGGGGATCAAGACACGATATGATTTAAAGGATTTTTCACCTCATGAAACCTTCAAATAAAAGCCTTGTCCTGGCTAATAAACATTGCTTTACTGTAAGGGGTAACCAGCCAAAAAGGCTGGGAACTGCTGCCTTAACTGATAGTAAAAGTAAAAGTTAGATACTGAGGTTGTTAGCCTTAGTAAGAAAAACATTTACTGAAATTTCATTTTGACAAGAGTCAATGGATGTGTGGTGTCCAGGATTGACATGAGTCGTTTTAATTAGCATCTGTGGAAAGTCAAAAAAAAAAACCTGACAATATAACAAGTACAAATGCAAATGCTTGTGATTTGACATAGTGACATATAAGTGTAAATGTACGTGGTTTCAAATTGTTAATGAATGTGCATAATATCTGTCAAGGAAAAACTGCCAGATAGATAACAATAAGATAACAATGAATAGAAGGAAAACCACTTTTATAGAGAAATCCTGCAGAAACACCGGCATTAGGGTGACCAGATGAGAATGGGTGAAATTCGGGACGGGGGAAGGGGGGCCGTGTAGCTACCGGTACACTGAGTGTCAATGAACATTAACACACGTGAAAATCAAAACACAATGCTAAAATTAATTATTTTTGTTCATGAAGCCACCTGTCTGTCATTAGGAAATACAGAACAAGTGTGGATATGTAGGTCAATCATGATCTTTTACCTAATTTTTATGTTTATTTTATTCATGTCATCAATGCAGTGTCACATCTGTCTGCGCAACGCGCGTGTCAGATATCTCCGCCGTGGATGCCTGAAGCTACACTTTCCCTGTCCTCGCAACTGTCACTTCCACTAACCACAAGAAAACAAAAAGGGGAGAAGAGCACGAGTGTTACTTTGTGGCTATAACAACACTGTTGACACACAATGTACATTTAATCTGCAACCCCTGCTGGAGCAAGAGAACTACACAATGATCAGTATTTAATGTTTAATTAGGCTATAATCAAAACTCATGTTAGTTCTAATTTTCGGCACAACCCAGACAGGAGTCAGGACAACTGCTTGTAATTCGGGACTGTTTTTCGGGACGTCTGGTCACCCTAACCAGCATGCAGGCTGTGGCTTTTCACTCAGACATGTTCAGGCTCTGTTACTTCAACGTTCCCGTCTCAGAGGTAGATCAACATCAGCTCTGTACCTTTCATTCAGCGCAGCGAGCTGCATATTGGCTCTATACTCACGGAAAAAAGGCAGTGTGACAGCAGCTTTAGACAGGCACTGGAACGGTACAGTAATAGTTTATCAGCTCTAGGTTGAACTAACCCATGCTTGTTACATGATCATGGTACATTTCCTGCATTTAGCCGACGTGCAACATCGTTAGCTCGCCTGCTGCTTTCAGTGACTATTTTTACTATCTGTGTATCTTTCACCGGAGGCTCAGCAATGTTAGCTAAATGTATTGGATGATAATGAAACGGTTAGTGAGCTGGACTGAATATTATAACGAGATTGTGTCACTCTCACACTCAACAGTCAGACCGCAGTAAGTAAATTTACTGCCTTGTCCGTGGATGTCTCTTCCTCTGGGTTGTATATTATGTGGGTCATGTTACAGCGAAGGAGAGGTGGAGAAGCTGTGTACCTGAGTATCGGTAAAAGGCAATAAATCTAAATTGAACGTTACGAAGCAAACAGCGGCAGGTCTGAGCTAATGTAGCGTTAGCTGGCTGCCCTACCTGCATCACTATAGGCTAGTAAACAAATCGCTCCACATTTGCTTTTCACCGTTACATCCTTTCTTGCAGGCTAAATCAACAGTGGTACAGAGGATAGTAACAGGGGTCGCGTTAGCTGGTGAAGTAACATAGAAAGCCAAATAACTTTGCACCGGATAACACTAGCAACTGCTCGGCATTAGCCGGTCGAGCTAACGTGACTTTCTCTGTATTTCTCCAGCTTTACTAATGATCACTTTGTTCTTACTCGACATCACTGAATCAGTTTGGTCTGATGGGCTTCAGCACATAAACCTTTATTGTTATTTTGTATCCTTAAGTGGAGTCTGTGTTTTGCTGTGAGCTGGTTGTTTTATGGTGTTAGTGGTCTGCATGTCGTTCGCTGCCGTGTTGTCGCTGTAGTCCAAGAGAGGCTCGGGAGCGCGCACAGGACTGAATCCGACCCGGTATCCTCACATTAAAAGCAGAATATTGGCTGATGCAAGCAACGGAGGAAACAGGCGTGTGCTTCATTTCTAAATGAGTTTTTAGCCCATTGACAATAAGGCAATGAAAATTTGATTAATTTCATTGAAAAACTAATATATAGCCCCTTTCAGGATACAGACCAACTGCATCCCACGTTCTCTCACTCACCTGAGAGTGTCCATTGACTTCCACCTCCTCAGCAAAGTGAACTTTCACTGGGTTGGACCTGAGTTTGGCCCTCTTCTCTGGTGTGATGAATGATGACTTTGGGCCCTACAAGGAATACAAATAAATAAATCAGGTTACCATTGTATATATATTTTTAAATAATTACGGGAAGCGAAATGAAAAGATTAACAGACTGTTGCTAATGTTGAATTTCATCCAAGCATGCATACAGATACTTAACCACACACATTTTATTATTTAATGAGCTGATGATATATACCCTGTTTGTCTTTGGTTGACTTCTCTGACCAGCTGTGGACTAAAACTTGCAGCTAAAGTTTTAGTGACAGCTTCAAAATTACTGACATTAAAGCTATTAGACTATTCGAAAATAAGTTTTATATCAAACCAAAAGATTATGCAATATATTGAGGATACGATGTAATTATTTAAGAATTATGTAATTAAAAAAAGAAAATTCTATAAAATTACAATCTCTGTCCAGGGAAGATGTGCCCACTGGGTACTGGACAACATCTAATATTGCAGAAATGTAGACGACAGGATGTAGAATGAGAGAAGTGATTATAATATATAGATCCATTTTTAAAATACATTAATAGAAATACTATTTCATTTTCAATACAGCACAGGCATCCAAGTCAAATTTGCCCATTTTGCAGTTCTATGAAGACATTTAGATTTATGAGATAACCATTATGCATTCACTTGTATGCATTCAGTTACAGTTGGTAGATTGAATGCACCAGAAGAAACTGTCAAACAGTCCTCCTGCTCTTATATAACTATGATTATAATACAAATCTTAATCACTTAGGCATGCTTTGGTTCAGAACTCTTTAACTCTTCTTTTTTGTTACAACCAAGAAGCATGACAAGATGCAGATACTTTGTGGTAAAGGCTAATAATTCCTTTAAGCTCAATAATGATTTCTGGGAGGAGCTGTGAGCTATGAATCAGATGGTAAAGGTGCTTCCATCAGCAGAGCTCCTGATGAGAGTCATTAAGGAGGAGCCATTTATTTACCTATCTACTTCACCTTAGTGCAAACACATACATCAGCGTCACAGACTGAGGTGCACCCCCCCCCCCCCCCCCCCCACACACACACACACACTGAGTGATTATGATGAGTGTGTGTCTGTTTGAGTCTGTGGGGGGAGTTTCCAAGGGTGTAATGTGTTTTCACTGATGTAGCAGTGGGATCTTGGCGCCAGGGCGCTTATTAGCAATGACACCCAACCCCCAGCCTCATTGACATGCTGATTAATGGGTTGTTGACAACAGTGTTTTAAAATCCTATGTATTTACTGACACTGCACATCTATAGTATGTAAGCTGTGTACACATACATGTCTGTGTAGAGGCTTGTTTTCACAAGAGGAAACAAAGAAGTGCTTGTATCTAAAATGCTGCTGGAATTGGATCAGTCATAATCCAATTAAATGTCCATCAGTATTACTTTGTGTGTAAATGTCTGTTTCTGTGGAGTATGTGTGCATGTTTGTGTAGATACAGCAGACTCACCAACATCGTTCTGAGAACAGTCATTGTCAACGACTCTTGACACTCCCTGAAAAAAGTTAAGGGTGGTTGGTAAGGTTAGACGTGATGTGCATAGCTTCATTTTAAACAGCATTTTGTGGTGTGTGTACAATAATCATGCATCATAAGTGTGTGTGGGTGTGTTTGTAAATGCAGCTGTCGGTGTAGACCTGATTATTTCAGCAGCTTGCTCCGGGGTCAGGTCATCGACAGCGATGTTATTGATCTTCACGAGCTGGTCGCCAGGGACGAGCCGACCATCTGCAGGACCACCTGGACACATAAAATGTCCTTGTGTTGTCATGCCTGAGGGTGTTCATTTGGCCTGCATTCATACTACAACTGGGGTTGATTACAGTCAGACAGTAGCTTGTATTCGAGTGATCTCCTTTCATCTCACACTGATGCATAATTTTTCACTCAGCTCTCCAAACCTAACAGATCCACCGCAGGGAGAGCAGCAATCTAATCACTACACATCCAATTTAGGCAGATAAATAACTGTAAATATCTTCACCTCATTTAGAATTCTACCACCTTCCTCAACTCTATACCAGTGTTTAACATCAACTTCAACTTGCGACTACTGACAACATTAAGGGCAAGGTCTTCTCTCTATAGTGAACAGATATGTAAATGTGCTTATATCATTGTATTAGGAAATGAATGGCAGAAAACCCTTGCACAGTATTTAAAATAAAAACAAGAGAATATTTAAAACACACTAAAAGCCATAAAACTACACACATTAACACAAAGAGTAAAATGATCTAAAATGTCATAATTGTTGATGTCATAAATCAGCTGCAAGAACACACAAAATGTCCTTGTGTTGTCCATTTTAAAACAGTGGGTTTCTGAAGAAACTGAAAAGATGCGACAGAGTTTGTGGCCCTGATCAACTCAGGCAGGTCGTTCCACAGTCTCGGAGCCCTAACTTTTCACCTTTCATTATAAATCTGGATTTAAGAACAACCAGTAATTATACATCCAAGGAGCTCAGGGAGAGGGAAGGGACATAACACACAACCAGTGTGTTAATACACCTGCCAAGGGACTACAGTTGAACATTAGCCAAGCTGGCTAAACTGGCACATTTACAGAAATGTTTATTAATCTGCACTGTCTCTGTAACCTTAAACTGTATAAATAAAATAAATCTGCTAAAAAACTTGGAGCTAGGCCTTTCAGGGATTTGTAATTATTCTACAGTAAATTATAAAGGCACCAAGTAGCCATTATAAGGACACCAGGATCAGTGTGATGTAATCATGTTTCTTAGAGTCAAAATCCCAGCAGCAGAGTTTTGGATGAGCTGGAGACGAGAGAGTTTTTTTTTTACTGATGCCAGAGAGCAGGGAATTTCAGTAATCTAACTGACTAGTTATGAAGGCATAATAACAGTTTCCAGATTTTTGGCAGGAAGAAATGGTCTGATTCTTGAAATGTTTCTGAGATGATGACAACAGGATTGAACCATTGATTTGACATGTTTGTCTAAGCTGAGGTTTTGTTAAAAAATTACACCAAGATTTCTGCAATGCTGAGTTATCAAATGGGACAGAAAACCAAGACTGTTTCAATCTCTGTCTTATCAGCATTGAGCTGCAGGAAATTTTGTGACATTCACTTGCAGGTTGACAGAGATCTAAGTATCATCTGGGTAAAAATGGAAACTGATGTTATGTCTACATATGAGATGGCCAAGAGGGAGAATGTAAATGGAAAAAAGGATTAGACCCAGCAATGAGCCCTGGGGTACCCCACAGTGAACACCTGTTGCAGCTGACCTGACACCAACGATACAAACACAGAAATGCTTGTCTTTTAGGTAGGACCTAAACCATTGCAGAGCAGTGTCACTGATACCCACTTAAGTTTCAAGACGGTCCAAGAGGATCTCATGGTCATGGTCATCATGGTCTCATGATGCTGTCCCAATCTGTGCACATTTAAAGGATAGGTTCATATCTTTTCAAGTCTGTCTTAAAACAATAGTCAGGTGCCCATATGAAGATTGAAACAGGTTTTTCTTGCTGCAATCATTCCTCCTGTTTATACTGGGGCTTAAAAGATTCCTTCTTTTACGTACGTAACTTAATATTGGGACAATTTTATTCTGTAGAGCTACTGATAGCTCAAACTCTAGTTTTTTAATATTTTATTTATACAAAACTTTACTAGATATTTCTTCTTACAATTAACATCCTTGAAGAAGGTGTGTAATTCTATTTTTGTGCACCATCACAATGACATAAAAAGTGTCTCTGGCCTGAGCTTCTGCCCAAGCTTAAATGCTTAAAAGTTTCCATTCCAGACAACCAGAAATGGGCAGCAAAGCAAAATTCATAGTTCTGTCCATAGATAGCATTCATGAATTCATGTAGGTATGTGTAGGTATGTACCCTAAAATGTGTATAATCTATACTGTGTCAGGAAATACAATAGTTTCCCAGACACACAGACATTTATCACAACTTTCACTGACTCCATAATAAGTTATTCAATTGTGATACCATTTATTTCCAATGTAATATTAGAAATTAACATTGTCAAATGCAGGTGACAAAGATCACTTGTTTAAATAAAGGATTCATATTTCACTGTCAAGATGCGCCAACACATGCCAGAGAGACAGAGTGAGAGGAAAAATTGAGCCAAGCCTTATGGCCACTGGAGACATGAGCAACAGTGTGTGTATGTGTGTGTCGGACAGGCAGAAGCAGATGGTGACAGAACAGACTTGAGCCAGACAGGAGAAAGCGAGGCAATCTGGCCCCAGACCTCAGGGGGATACATATCCTTGTTACTCTGCAGCTCAGCAGCAAACTGCACGTCAGAGCACAAATATAAGCAGAATATAGTATACACTATGTAATGAATGACTTTTAAGTACATATTTAATTTTTAGACAAATGTCAATCAATTGGGAAGCTGTATTTTGCAGCTGTTAGTGTTTTCTTAAAGTTATCCAATTATAAATTGTCATTAGCTGTAGCACATTCATCTATGTAGCATCTGTCTATATAGCATTATAACCATGCCTCCTTTGTGTTGCTACTTTTAAAAATTGTCATTATTAGAAATTAAAAATGTACTGTTGAAAGGTTTTTCATATCTTAAGTATATTCCTATTACATCATAGTGAACAGTTTCATTTTACATTATAACTTGATTTGAAAGATTTAGTTGGATCATTTTGAATAGGCAGATTTGCGGTAACCGTCTTTGACTGAAAGAACCACTTTTGCGCATGTGCAGAACGGATCTAGCAGGCGATACGTATTTGGCGCTGACACAAGTTGCCAACCGATGCATCCTCGGTAAAATGGGCACACTTCCGGGAATTTTAACCATTCTTTCCAAAATGCAAACTTTAGTATTGGGACAGTACTTGGACCACAAAAGATGACGTTTTACAAGAACACAAGTACAGACAAGAACACAATCTGAGAAAGGCCCTATATGCAGTAACAGGTGAGGCTGGGAAAAAAATCACATCCACCACCTCACTCCCAGGGATGTGTGCTTGCCCCACAGTGACAAGTCTGCATACAGCTGGCCTTCTGGTGCGATCATAAAAAGCTGTAGCTTAAAACACTCAAAACTGTGGAGCTGACATAAGACTTCAGGAGGAGCCCCCCAACAGTACTCCCATCACTATTAGAGTCCGACCGATATGGGATTTTGATATTTGAGGATTTTTAAATCAAATACTCGATATATTGGAAACACATAACATAACAAAGATTATAGATCACGGATCACCTATGATCCATTGCAGCACTAGCAATTTGCTCATATCGGCCAATAATATCAGACTCTAATCACCAACGTGCAACACGCCCTCCATTCAGGACATACATCTCAGTCAGGAAGTCAGTCAGAGTCAGGAAATGGGCAGGAAACATCACTGCAGACCCATTGCACCCTGGACACAAACTGTTTCAACTTCTCCCAAATAGCTAAATCTTTATGTTGCCCTTTGATCAGCTTTGATGTCAGTGTATTTCTATTTCCATTATACACTGAGAGCAACACAAAACAAAAGCATGTATCAGCATTTTGACATCATTCAGGGTTAAAAATTTTGGCAATGTTCCTTAAATGAAAAAAAAATGTTTTTGCGACCTTGCTAAAATGAAGAAATTAAGATTCTAAAATCTGTAATTTGTATTTGTTTTTAAACACTGACTCTATTCTCTGCCTGTTACTTGTTTTCTGTTCATTAAAAAGTTTTTACTAGGGCTGCATGATTAATCTAATCACAATGTCATCCTGTGCGTTTACATAACGGCAAAAAAGGGTGTGATTTAATTTAATAGGGAAACATTGTGCTGTGTGCGTGTGAAGCTCTCTTCTCTGTGAGCACTGCAGTCTTTTCACTATAATCAGAAACACTCAGAAAAATGATTTACGAGCAGTTTGCCAGTAACGTTTAAGACAACCCCCCTCGCCACTAATCGTTTAAAACACAGCTAGATTGGCCACCGGGGCGCACAGAGAAATGCCGGTGGGCTGGTTGCTCTGTGAGAGAGACGTGTTGTCGGCAGCTGAAGCGCTCGGACAGAAGAAAACTGGGAGACGATAAGGAAGGTTTGGGTTGGGTAACTAGCCATTTAACGTTCGCTCTATCGGTGCCTTCATTGTTCAACACATTCAACTTTTCATAAAGCCGACGCGCTTGTCAGTCACTTTTCACCAACCGACCAATCACAGCCTGGAAGGGGCGGGACATTAAAAAAAGGCTGTTATGCTACTGCAAACATTACAGTGTTGAACAATATCTTTATTGACAAGTTAGTACTTATCATTAACAAATTAGAAGCCATTGTACAGCCTTTATCTTGCACAAGGATTTAATGAATAAAAAACACTCATAGAAATTTATCAGCTGCAAGTAGTAAAATAGTATACTGTTAAATAAACATTATGCTTTTATTTAATGTTATAATATTAAACAGCATTTTTGGATTGTTGGCAAAAAACATGTATTTCTTCTTGTTCATATAACCTTGTTGAAGCTGAGAAATACACATTTTAAAATTTCAGTATTTTATGCATTTTTCTTGATAATAAAGCAAGTACACTCACTTGTTCCATTATATCGCAATCGCAATTTTGTCCACAAAAATTGCAATATAACTTTTTCTCAAAATTTTGCAGCCCTAGTTTTTACTCATTGTAAGACTGGTAAAAAGAGCATATTTGACTTGGTGACTAACTATGTTGCCCATATGGAGCCTATATATTGGTTCCTTGGGGGACACAGCATTCAGTGTCAAATGTCTGGGATAAAAAGTTGCCTAAGCTAACAAAACCTTTTCTAAAGTCTATGGATTAAAAGTGAGACTGATCGATCAGCTGGTGACCGTGATCAGCCAATTTTGAGCTTAATTGGCCAACACCAGGGACGGACTGGGAGTAAAAAATGACCCTGGACTTTGATCCCGACCAGCCCACCAGAACGGTTCTCCGTATACTCCACTGTGACCGCCCTATTAATGCACGCACGTACAAACAGATCCAGCCTCTAATAAGCCACCTAGCAGCATCACAGCCATTGATCACTATGGCAGTACTACTAAAAAGGCTGCAGAACACACACTGAACTTGTCATGAATGAACTACCTCACACCACATGAAGCCTTGAGATAAAAAGACTAAAATATCCACAATCCTCTCTGAGACAGAGCACTGTCTAACTGCTGCTCAGGGTCAGCTGGTTGGCTTTAAGTCATGGGAATACACATAATAAAAAACTGCTTGAACACCTCTCCAAACAGAACGTAACCTAAGAGAGCAGCACTGATCATCAACCTCGATACAAATAAAATAATATATAAATTAACTAATAAAGGCAAAATTTTTGAAAAACTACAAAAACACAGCAGTGACACTATTTCATATCAAATGAATGAAGGCAACACAATAAATAATAATGTGAAGTGGAAGGAACCTTGTCAATGAGAATCATATCAAGCAAATCACTAAAGACACATTCTCCCACATAAAAAATGAATTTGAGAGGGAAAGGATTGCTTGGTTTTATAATATGTATAAAACACTATTTGCAACCACTGGCAGACACCTAAATAAAATTTGCTGATTAACATTTGTAAGTGTCAAAAACATTTACACGTGTAACAAAAACCAATCAGAATCAAATGAAAATGCTTATTTTAGCAAAATAAAATTACACAACAGTAAATCTCTGATACTAAAGTGATTTATTTCCCGTTAAGCATCAGATTTTAGTTTTTCCACTAGCAGGTTTGAACACACAGTTACTGTACTCTGTACCTCAGTTCTTTCTTTCTGGTACATTTACAAAAGAGTAGCTGACCAACAGCATTTGCATTTCACTGATAGAGGGGGGTGGCCTGTGTCGCTCAACCTTCTGCCAAACTTTGTATTATTTGTTAAAAATGATAGGCGAAGGAAGGCGGCCCACCGGCCCGGAGGTTGTTTGGCCCACTGAGAATTGTCTCGGTACTCCAGTTTGCCAGACCACCACTGGCCATGACCAGTGATTGGTGCCAATCAGTGTCACATATCAAATCCTGGTCAGATTTACACAGCGCAGTTGGGCGGACCACCTAGGTATTAAAGATCGTCAATGTATATTTGGCAGAGAAACAGAGAGACATCTGGTATTATGTTGGAAGACACGGACACTGTGGATATTTTACAAGCACGGACCAGGTAAAGCAATACTGAACACAACTGTTGGTGTCAATGTCATTCAGTACCACATTGGTCTTGATTGTTTCAATAGGCTCTGTCATTAACAAGCCTCCTCCACACATGGCACACCTGCTGCTGTGAAAACGTAATCGCAGGTGAAAAAATCCAAAAAGTGAGTTCTGTTATTTTATACTGAAGTTTATTTTTTAGTTGGATTTTTTTTGTACAAAAAAAGCTCTCTCCTTTAGCCTAACCAGGAGCACTTTTTTATTTTGAGATACAAAATTGAAAAAAAAAATGTTCTCCATTGTTTAAGTAAAATACATTAAGAATGAAAGAAATGTGTTGAATACACAATGAATTCTGTATTTTGCCACTTAATTTTATTCTTTACGCTAAATGTTGTCGGTTGTGCTGCCAATTGTCTCTTTACATGACGTAATGCTTGAACCTCAAAAGGGTAATTTGTGTTCAACCCTTGACCGACAAAATAATGATACTTTTCCATGAGACTTTCTTAAATGTACATCTCATAGTTTAGAACAGTAGACTCTACCATGCTAAATATGAGACGAGTGGTGTGCAAACATTGCAAGGCCGAACACACTGTAGGCACAGATGGCCATTTGGTTCAAAGCTATTTCAGTAATATTTGAATGATTCATTCTGCATTGCATACAGGTTGGCATCAGCTCAAAAAGGCTATTAAATCTAAACTGAGTGACACTATGATGGCTGTAAGTTGATAATATTCAAGATACTGTATGTGATGATGAATTATTCTATTTTAGGGAAGACACTGTAAGACTGCAGCTCTCCTTTAGATGCAACAACATTTACAGCAGCCAACTGCTGGACAGTAACTTTGTGCTTCTGAACAGAGGTATGGGTAACCATTATCACTCTTTGTCTGCCATTTCTGCAATAAACACACAAGCTGAACATCATTAATAAAGGTGTGCTGTATCTGTGAGCATATCAGACGTTTTGCATCATGACCAATAGAAGGCGTGCCATGAGATCATGTAGAGGTGGCATGTCCACCTACAGGTGCTGACACACCTTTGTCTCATCCATCTATCAGTGCCAGAATATAATAATATAATATAATAATGATTTTGTGTGCAGTATGAGCATACAATATCAGCCTCCCTTGAAGTTTCCACTTTTTACAGTTTGTTTTGTACGCTGGCCAAGGCCCACAGTGGTCAGACACAGCTCCACTATTCTGCTCTGTGGAAAATAAGACGCACGAAATCAAACTCCTGACTAGAACTGTATTTTTGCTACTCATAAGTTGTCTGGGGTTAGAAGTGCTGCATTGGTTTTAGAGACAAGAGGATTACATATCTGTGTATAGATAAAGCATGTACAAATACAACAAGGCTTGCACATTTCTGTGAAAAGGAGCCAAGTCTTTCAACTTGCTACCTAAACACTTGACAACTGCTGCAAACTTCACTTTTGAGAGGCCAAGTCCTGGTTAGTTCAGCAACAAATGTGTACTCACATCTAGTCTAGTGAAGTTGGTCTAACAAAATTTTCATTGCATTTTGATTTACTCATTTTACCTCCTTTTATCTTGTGTTGTACTGTAATGTACCATATTGTATTTTCTTTTTTCTTTCTTCACTGTTTTAATGTTTTATTTATTTAAAAGCCCTTCTAGGGACAGGTGTTGCAAATTAGCATCTGCTAAAAACACTATGGTACACACATTGGATTGTTTTCAGTTTAGCTATGTTAGATGTACCAGCCCCAATACAATAATGCTACTTTGCGTTTTCTCTCTTCAGAGTTTACATTTCATAAATCCTGTCGTACCTGGAGTGATCTCCTGCACCAGGATGGGTGTCTGGGAGGACAGAGTGAGGCCATGAGAGTTGAGGCTTGGGTCCCGTTGGATCTGGACAATGAAGCGGAAGGGGTAATTCCTCTGATCGGGGCCACTGGACTCTGCTGTCTTCCCATCCACTGCAACCCGATCTCTGGAGAGCAGGAGGACATAAATAAAAAACAAAAATAATTCATACAGAATGACAGTTAAGGAGTTCTGTTGTGAACAACTTTATATTTGAGTATATTAGAAAAATAACGACAGAAATACTAAATGCAACAGACAGTAGCAATATGGAGCATAAATTATTCGTTTTGCGATGGAAAAAGCTAAATATAGTTGGCTTGGTGGGTCACTAATGTGGACTTTCTATGATTGGCCCCTCCCTCAGTTGAAGGACATACATGGCAGATGAATGAGAATTGAACTAATACATTTAAATAAGATAAAAACAGAAGTTTACCTGCTCAGAGAGTGAGACCTGCTGCCCAAGTCTCGGGATCGTCTCAGCCATCGTCCCACTACCTGCTCCACCCGGCTGGTCCTACGGGAAGGGGAGCGGCTCCTGTCCTGCACCTCCATTTACCTACCAAGGGGCAAATGTCAAAGTAGTCATACATACAGCATACTTGGATAAATGAAATATAAGCAAATCAAACACAGGCAGAGAGCTCATGCGCAAAAACATTTATCAAAAACATATTTCTGGAGCTCAAGTTTTTTCTGCCCATTTAAAAAAAGGGAAATGAATGAGAGGAAGAGGAAGTGTCTTAATCAATGTGTCCACAAGACTGTAAAATCTAACTCATCATATCTTTGCAATGAAAATACAACATGCAAATCACAGGAGTGCAAACTGCAACTCTTCAGGGACACAACAGACAAAAACACACACAAACACACACACACACACCAGCGTAAGGCTAGATAATGGGACTACTGGTTATTAGACATGGGCTGAGGCCAACAATGATGTCACTTGTGACTTCATGGAGCCTAATGGGCTCTTAGCCCGAGTTATGAGCCAATTACTTGCATGTTGTGTTCAAGCCTCAGTAAACATCAATATCATTAATTCGTAATTATAAATGATGATGGCGTCTCCTTTAAAAAGGCCCCTGTTGTGTTTGCTGTGAGGCAGGTGGTCATCATAAATGATTGTTGACTGGCTGTGGTGGTTGGTGAGCTCAAAGTAATGGACAGAGGTTGCTTCTAGTGTCTAGTCAGGCTATTACAAGGACCTGCAGCTGTGGGTTAATTGGTCTTTCTGGAACCTTGCAATGTTTTAGGTAATGCCATATCAGCTTACACACGCACACACACACACACTTCAGACATTACTATTGCATTTGAATGACTAGATGAACTCAAATACCCCGGGACCCGATCCCGGATAAGCGGATGAAGATGGATGGATGGATGGATGGATGAACTCAAATATGGACACGGCTGCAACTAATAAATATTTCCATTAATGATTAATCTGCTAATAATGTTCTCAATTAATCGACTGATCATTTGGCCTAGAAATGTTTGTAGTTAGTTAAAAAATGTTTTTCAGAGCCTAAGGTGAGAAATTAAAATAGCTTGTTTCATACTGCCAGTTCTCCAAAACCCAAAAATGGCAAAATAAATCATCAACATTTGAAAATCTCAAAAAAAACAAATGTTTGGCCATATTCCTTAAAAAATTACAGAAGTAATTAATTCATTATCAAACTAGCTTAGTAGATTAATATTAGATAATTGTTTTCCTCCAGCTGCTCTGCCTCAACTTTCCTTGATGGACAGATAGCTTTACTTGTTGTTAGTAGTTACTTTAGCCTCTAACTACTGCTAACGGCAGCTAGTTAGATCAGTTAGCTGTGCAGCTAGCCGTCCTATTAGCCGACTCTGCCCTGACTGGATCACTTTGTAAACAGCCTTGCAAAAATTGGCAGATGATTAAAATAACATCATGCGGCATTTTTGGACCCACAGAACCACGTGGATGTGAAATATGTCATTCTCTATTTGTTGCCCAAGTAAATGTGTCTTTCATGGTAAAGATCACTCACACAAAACAATGTTGTTTGTATAGTAGGTAGTTTACTGATGATGAGCTTTTATGGTTTTACTCTTTAAGGGTATTCGTCAAAGGGCCAAAACATCAGTGAGGAATCCAAGCACACACACGCATGCACATACACATAAAAAAACTCCCTCTCAGTTTGATGACTGAGGCACTCAGACAAAGACTTCAGGTCATTAGCTGTTACCTAACACCCCCTTCACATTATCAAAGGCTGACTGTACTAGACTGTGACTGGAAAATAGATACTCATGTACTCGTATTCATTCATGTAGAATCACCTCATTCTGAATGACAAATTGAAAGGAATATAAGCAGTGAATCAAGAAGTAAGCAGATGAATGAATCATTAACAGTAATTAAGCGATCAATTAATTAATGGTCATAAAGCAGGATGCACAAGTCCAAATATAATGAATAAGGAAATGGATGGATGGAGGGATGAGAGGTAGATAATTCAATGAATTCATAGTTGGATGGAATGAATGAGTGAATGATCTCAGCAGGCCTTTTGTGCCCCTCAGTGAGCAGATGCCGGAAGGAATCTCCCCCAGACGGATGTTGCCTGATGATGGGCATTAACACCATCCATTAGAGAAAACAAGAAGGCAGGGAGGGAGGGAAAAATGGAGAGGGTAAGTTAAGTATCTGAAGAAAGAATAGGAAAGTAAAATGTCCAGTGCATCGTCAGGTCAGTATGATGCGACAAAAGCAGAAAACTGAATGAAAGGTTAGAAAACACAGAAGTGTGATGGAAGGTGAGAGAGGTTTTAGGGGTGAAAGTGGTAAGTGACACAGCCAGACTGCAATGTCTCCTGGGGGATCTTGAGTGATAAGCACATTTTCCATCCCTCTGTCTGTCTGTGAATACCCCTCTCCTGCTGCGCTCTCCCTTTCTTTTCATGCTATCACTTCCTGTTTGCCTCACACACAGTGTCTCACTCCTCAGGTTACAGAGACACAATACAAAAGTGTACTTAGGTTTGTTAGGGTCAGAATAATCCCACCAGCTCACCAGCATGGTGATCTCAAGAGTGATATAGATACATAATAAGCGAAAAGACCCTGAAGCTCTGAAATAGCTGATTTCCATACGAGTTAATTAATTCTAAAAGTGGATAATAAGGGTTGGAAAACAGCAAAATGTCTGTGCATTACAAATGTCAAACACTGGGACAAAGCCTTCAAACACCTAATCCCCTCTAATCCCATAAAGATGTTTTCCTTCCGAAGTGGCTTTGATTGACTATGGTGATGAAGTACAAGCTCAGTGGTCCGGCGATCCAATCCACTCTGGTAAAATAGTGTTGAGAGCAATTCCTGTTTTGCAACCACAGCGTTCACGATAAGAGATCAAGACAGGAAATGTCGACAGATTTTCTTTAAAAGGTGTAACGTTAGAGGCTGCTGGCAATATTATACTGTACTTCCCCCTCACATCAATCACAAGACACATCACATTACTCAACCTTACACTCTTGGTGCATCCACTGCTGAACCTTGCAATTACTTTTGGTTTCTCATTATGGAAAGAACATTTTCTACCCATCTAGTCATTGTTATCCATGTTGGATAATAGATTGATGACACATGAGACAGGATTTTGAAAGGAAGACTTGTAACTGGAAGGTTTCCAGGATGAACCCTGGAAATTAATAATAAGTTGCTTTCACAACAAAGAACAAATGATACACTGTCACCCTTTGGTTCTAGTTTGTGCAGTAGATTACTGCATGTCATCTATATAGCATCTCTCATGGTCACAAAGAGCAAACAAGGAAAAAGGCGGTATTGTGCATTATTAGTGTGTAATAATAATCTTTATTTTTTAGAGCACTTTTCAAAAGCAAGTTACAAAGTGCTTTAACAAGTGTAAAGACAATAACACCCAAAAGACAATACAAAAAGAATACAAGATAAAAGCAAGAAAACATTGAAAAGACTAAAATACATGTTTAAGATAAATATAAAATAAGTAAAATAGAATAAAATAAAAGGGATAAAATAAAATCAAATCAGGAAAGGCTCTCCTATAAAAGTAGGTTTTAAGAAGGTAACTGTAACTAAGGGTGGGCGATATGGCCAGAATGTTCTATCACAGTGTATATAATTTTGTATCACGGTAACGGTATATCACGATACAGAAATTGTTCTGTGAATTCAAATAAAACATGGTTGAAAATAACCATATCATAATTACCAACTTTACAGCAGCAAAATAACATCCTGCTCAGCTTCCAGACCGCAATCTGAAGAGGAGATGTTTGCTAGCGCCAACTGCCTATCTAGCAGTTGGAAAACAACAGACAGACTAAATGGACACGCGGTGACCAATGGCGCCGCCAGGGGGGGCCACGGCCACCCTAAGAAAATGGGTGGCCACCCCAGTGGCAAGGAGCATATGTATAAAATGCTATATACTGTTTATATTATGTAACCCCTTGGTTTGAGTTAAAAGGTGAATAGCAGCATACAAGTGTTCTCATATTAGGCACATATTATCACTTTAAGAGGGTAACCTCTGACCCTGAGGAGTGACAGACTGTGATGTTTATTTTTAGAAGAGGCCTCCAATTCGTCCATGTAGATGGCAATCACATTTCTAAAATTGTGACTGGTTAAGGGGCGGGACTAACAGGCAGAGCAGAAAACACCGGTGTTGTGCCGAATGTGTGTGTTTTTTGTGGAGGCAGCAACAAGCTGCAGAAGAAAGAAAAGTGTAGTTTAATTAATGTACGGAGACAGTTATAAGCCTGGCTAGTTTATAATAAGTTTGTCACACTGCTACACAGTTTTGTGTATTGTACTGTGTGAGAGTCTGCAGATAGCAACAGGTTAGCACCATCACTAACAGCAAGCTAACGTCGTACGAATACTGGAGCCCTGACAGCGCCGTGTGTGACGTTATGTTTCAAGGGAGACCGTCCTGTGCCTGTTTTCACCTTCATCTTTGTGAAAGGATTGCAAAACATGAGAACAGCAGGGAGTCATCTGGACGATGCTGTAAAACTGGGCTCAACGTTACTTGCGCCCAATAGGCGTTCCAGTGAGTAGCGCAACAAACACTGCGGGGCCTCAAGTGAGGCCTTAGCTCTGGTGAGTGAAAGCATCTTTTATCATCCTGACTCTGCTGCTGGTCCCTGCATGGGCAAATTGTTGTGCTGGATCGGTTGAGACTAGGCTACGGATTACGGTTGTTGTCATGATGTTGTTGTCATATAGCCACTTTCATACTGCCTTATTATTTGGGATTATTAGGCCAATTTGCTAGCTTGCTGCGCTGTATGACAGATATGGAGCTGGGAAGGGGATATATATTGGCCGACATTCTTTCTGTTTTGATTGCAGGATCTCTGTGGAAAGGGGCTATAGAAAGGCACTGGATGCCTAAAACGTTGTCTGTGCGCATGGTTGACTTCATTGGTGCTGACCTTACTGCTCTTTGCTTATGGCCCTGTAGGCTCATTTGTTCTGAGCTTGGTTATGTCTGCTTAAATATTGCATTCTGAATCTAG